GCTGGGATTGGCTGCCGCTTGGGGGCTCGCCTCGAAGCCCCGACGGCAGCGCGGCAGGCAGAGTGCGTTGCTGCAGCCCCCCCCCCTCCCCGACGCCGGGCCGGCCTGCACCATGTGGTGGTTGTAGTGCATGAGTGAGTGAGACGGCCCGGCCGTACGGCGCCCCACAGAAAGAGATAGCCCGACCGTGCCGCGCCCCCGCACCGTCCGTCTTCGTGTTGTTGTTGGTGGCGGCGAACATCGGCAACGCCGCGCGGCCAAGACGCACTGCAGACTCATTTTGGTCGCTGTCTCTCTCGCACCTGCACGAGGCGCCCGTGAGTGCGAGAGAGACGGAGCGACGACTCTCGGAATCGGTCCTCGGGGCGCGATAACGCCACGCCGTCGTCGGCAGGCTGGAGTAGGCCATGCGTGCCATGCGGAAGTGGAACAACGTCCACACACACACGCCCACGCAGATACGCACACACACGAGGCTCCGAAAATAAAGTCCGCTCGCGGCGTTGTCATCCAAGACGGGCAGAGGGCGGCGGGCAAGGCAAGGGGCACGGGCAGGGCTTATCTCGGGGCTCATGTCCACCGACCGCCAGCGCGCCAGCCCGCCCGGCCCGGCCGCCAGGTCCAGCGTGGCTGCCTGCGTGGCTGGCTGCCTGCAGGCCCCCCAGCCGGCACGAGCCGGTGCAAACTCGACTCGCCCGTAAAGTCCCACCTTTTCACGGAACAGTGGCTACGATGACCTCCTCGCCGTCCTCTCTGCGGTGCACCGCCATGGCGACCATCTCGCACCTACATTTGCTCCAGCCTCGCCAAAGGGTCCAACGCGGCAACGTGGGGGTGCCGCGCGTCGCACTCTCCAGACTGGAACAGCCGGACCAGTCGGAGGCCGCACTCAAAATCTGTCCCAACACAAGACCTGCAGGGTCCAGGATCGCGGGCACTGTACTCTCGGCGCCGGTCAAAACTGGACGCAGCCGAAGTCTAATTTAGTATCGTGAGCGCTTGAACTTCTACAGGCAGGGCGTTTGGCGTTTGTTGAACGCGCCTCTCAACTCGCGCGGCCACGGCTGCTTCGGCCCGGCGGCTACCCAGCCACTCGGCCCTAGGGCGCCGAGCCGCCGATAGACGAATCCGTCAATCCGTCTTACCGCGTGACGCTATCAGCCGAAAAAAGGTGGTGAGGGGCGGCAACCCATCCACATTCCTCTCGCATTCCAAACCCGTTTCCACGTCATAGAGGGGGCAAAGGGGGGGGGGCATAAAAAGTCGGCGGCAGCCCATGCGTGCCGCCCTGCCGCTGTGCCCCAGGGAGGCTGGGCGCGCTAGGCTCACTCAAGCCATCCTCAGGGTTGCATCAGCCGAACACCCAACGCTCTTGCTCTCTCTCTCTCTCTCTCTCTCTCTCTCTCTCTCTCTCTCTCTCTCTCTCTCTCTCTCTCTCTCTCGCACCCACGCTGAGCTCCGGCTCACATTCTCCACTTACAGCATGTAAGTTGCCAAAAATATTTGGGAGGGTGGCTCCGCCCGCTAACGTACCAAACCACGCAGTGTCTAACAAGAAAGTGACACCCCTCCTCAAAATGCGCTGATAATCTCTCAAATTTAGTTTCCGTGACACGATTTTCCCCTGATTCCCTACACTGTAAAGATAGCCTGGCAACGACAGGTCACTCCAATCATTGGGCGCAAGTTTTTCGAGTGTTTCGCCTCTGCGGCCACCTTGCCGGCTTGACGGCGAGCTCGTCCGGTGGCGGCCCCCATTTCGGTTCCGTCCCTCGAGTGTCCCTCCGGCCGGGGCGTCCCCGAGACCCCGGGCAGGCCGAGCAGGCCGTGCTGCAGGTAGCGAGGCCGCCGGCCTGCTCCGACCTGCAGACTCATTCCGAGAGTCGTCTCCGTCGCCGCACAGTGGGCCAGAAGCCGGAGGAGGCGGCCAAAACTCTAGACGCGTTTTGAGCTCCAGAGTCGCTAAATGGGACTCGAACCGAACGTGTGACCCCACCAATGGATTCCTCGTTCGGAGAGCAATCCATTGGTGGGGTCACACGTTCGGTTCGAGTCCCATATAGCGACTCTGGAGCTCAAAACGCGTCTAGAGTTTTGGCCACCTCCACCGGCTTCTGGCCCACTGTGCGCCGTCCCTCTCGCGCCCCCACGGGACGGCCCGCGAGCGCGAGAGAGACGGAGCAGCGGCGCGACGACGGCGCTCTTCGGAACCTGACGGCGGCCTTTCCTCCTCGCACAGCGTGATGCACAGCTGGGGAAAGCCAACGCGAAAAAACATGACGAAACAACAAAACAGCGACCTTCAGGGAATCGGCGGGGCTGCGCGGCAAGGACGAGGGGGAGGGTCCACCGTGCCCACCGCGCCACCAACCCGACCAAAGCGGGGCGGACGGTGTGGACGGGACGCACTCATTCATATCTCCGAGTCGGCCGCGTCGCCGTCGCCGCCGCGCTCACGTCACGTGCCGCCAGGCCGCCGGGCCGCCACCGAATCGGTGCGGCATCGGCCACTCGCCACACGGTTCGAAGTTCGAACATTCAAAGTACAAAAAAGTGAGGGCCACGCCGCGCCGCGCCACGCACTGCGATGATAACCCTCCTCGTCCATCGCCGCGCCGCCTGCCGCCCTTTGGCCGCGCAGAGGCCCTCGGACGCCAGGAAACGGACGCCGCGCACAGTGGACGCGTTCTGAGCTCCAGAGTCGCTAAACAGGACTCGAACCGAGCATGTGACCCCACCAATGGATTCCTCGTTCGGAGGGCAGTTCATTGGTGGGGTCACACGTTCGGTTCGGGCTCCATTTAGCGACCAGAGTTTTGGCCGCCTCCACCGATCTTCTGGCCCACTGTGACGCGTCCGCAGAGGGTGCATTCAGGGACGGGCCCCGGTTTCAATGTGCGCGCCAAGGCGGCGTGGCGTGGGGGCGTGTGGGGGCGTGCGGTGCGGGGCTGGCGGCGGGACTCGGTTATGTTGTCTATGGTCGCTCCACAACACGGTGCCCACACGAGCGACTGGACAGAACCGGAGCGTGAAAGGTCGGACAAACATCTTCAAAAATGACGTCGCTGGAGTGTCTGAGGCACAAGCAAGTGACGCAGCAAGACAGACAGCCAGTCCCCCACTGCGCTGCACCACCAGGCACGCAAGTGGTGGGCCCGTGGCGGTGTGGCCCTCAAGCCGGGAATCCCGGGCTGGGCTCCGGTCACAGCGGATCAGTGTGAAAAGGACACGAAAAGTGACTTGTGGTCCTCGCGGCAGGTTCTCGATGGCCAGATTTTGCCTGATCGGCGGGCTGAGGTTTGCAACCCTTTCTGACTCTGGTGCATCGTCGAAATTGCCCACTTATAGCATGGCGTTTCGCCGCGTCTGCTGGTGTACGTAATTTCGGAGTACTCTTCTGTTTTGAGGCGTCGGCGGTAATTAGTACACTGCAAGTCCCACGGCAGCGGTGTCGGCTTGAGGTGCGCCAACCGGCCGGGCGCGAGTAGGCGGCCAGGCGGACGATGCACTGGAGCCGCTCCGCTAAAAAAACTGGACGCGGAACCCGAAACGTCGAAAGCCATGCAGACCGGTTATCACTGTTTCGCGCGAAACGACGCGCTGCCAGTGTACGCGCATGCCGCCAATGCGGCCTCGGCCAGTGAGAGAGACACGGAGCAGGAAACGGCTGCTATTCCCACCTCGCGCCGTTTGTGTGAGTGTAAAAAGCGCGCGTGTGCGTGGGCGTGCGTGTGTGTGTGTGGCCGCGGGCTAGAGACAACGGGGACATTGAACGCACCGACTTGGCATCGCCGCGCCCGCCGCGGCCGAGGTCAAAGACAGCGGACAGTGTGACCAGGGGGCCAGGGGGCCGCAGGGGGGCCACACGTTCGCCCAGCACTGTGAGAAAAAAGTACGGAAAAAGTACGGAACATGTCTGGTCAATAATTTGCCTGGACCGTCCGTACTTGCCAACTACGGAACGTTCCGTACTTTTTTTCCGTACCATTTACATGGGTTTATATGGAGCAAGTACGGAACGTTCCGTACTTTTCTCCGTACCTCCGTACTATATTTTTCTGTACCACTTCCGTACAAAAGTACGGAATTTTTTACAGTGAGCCCAAAACGCAAGACTGCCTCAAGGGGGGGAAATGAATAAAAATAGTGCGCAGCTCCCAAAATTGCACAAATTGAACAAATAATTCTGTCCGGATCCCACGGTCCCCGTTCGCGTGCGCCATCCAAGATGAGAACACTGGGAATCTACTCGGAATGTTTGACAAAGCGCGAGGATAAGCCCGCACCGCCGAGGCGTTAACTGGCACAGCTGATTACTGCTATCCTGAACTTGAACTGCAGCGGCTGCAGCCGGCAGAGCGGGGACCAAGACCAAGACCAGCGTGGCTATCGAGCCACAGCCACGGAGCCACGCGGAGGCAGCGCGCCACGGGGGATTGGCAGAGGATAAGCAAAAGTAGCACCACCGATGTAAATCTCATTACATTTCCGCATCAACAACAACAAAAAATACTTTCAGGACTATCCATCACAAAAAGTGAACACATTTTACTTTGAGTCAACGCCCTTGACCAAAATATTTAGGTTTTGAGTCTATTATCTTTTGCATATATAAATAATTATAGCTCATCAATGACTCTGCGCAAGCCTAGCCACTCTGGGTGGAGGCCTTGACTAGCGCGAGAGCAAATAAGTGACCGACGTGAAAGGGGTCGCAAAGTCAGAGGGCGTTTGCGTTTGCTCGGGGCTAGGGTCCATCCCACACAGCACACAAAAGAAACAGCGCGCACACACACTGTACACACAAACACACACGCACGAGCGGCACATGCACGTGACGAGGACCGTGAAGGCAGTCCCGATATAAACTCAAATAGTTTGCCTTCTCGGAAAGACGAGACAAAAACAGGAGCGAACCGGCAGAGAAAGAGGAGATCAGAAGGTCGACGACGCCGCCCCACTGTAGAATGGTTTCCAGTCTAGAGAGAACATGAACTCACCTCGAGCCGGGCAGGGGTTCTCTGTCCAGAATCGCGCTCACCAACTCAGCTCAGCAGCAATCGGTCACGGCAACGTCCATCTGAAGACAAACGAACAAAAAAGTCAAGCGATGGCAAAAGCCCGCCCTCTCTCGTCCCCTTCGCCTCACACATCTCACTTGGTACACTCGTCTCCGGGGCAGGGGGGATGTGGGGGCGGAGGGGGGCGGGGCAGGGGGTATCGATTGGGACTCCTCCGGGATTCAAGGCGCAATGATGCGACGAGGTAATTTTTTACCTCTTTTCATTCAAATAGAAATAAACACTCGGAGCTAGGGTTTGATGAATGTGCGAGCTATCGGGTACTTTTCAAAGGGTTTAACCTCGACGACTAGGACACTTACTCATATCACTGATAATCTGTGGATTGTTGAACTTACAACTTTGCTCGACAGATGGCAGGTGAGAGTCTGCAACCATCATGTCATTTGGAGCCGACACATCCGTGCTAAGAGAGCAAGAATTAACTTAAAAGATATAAATTGACTAGAACCACACACGCTTTGACACCATTTTGTTGGAAACCAAACTGTCAAAGTATGAGAAATAGTGTGTAAATGTTTACATTTTCTGTGTCGTGTATGAGAATGTTTGCGATACCCTCATGCCGCTGTCTATCTTAACCTAAACACAGTGCAAGGCTCAATGTGACAAGTCGGTTGTTTTCATGTTTTCTCTTTTGTAGACTTCACATACTTTTCCTCCTTTTCCATTTGGTTGCTATCGGTCATGTCTCGTTACTCTGAGCGACGGAAGGCCCTTGAATCCAGGTAAACTCTCATGCTATTATTAATTTGTGTTTGCACTGTCAAGCTGCTTTGATTCTCCACTATTTTTCTTTTCGGTATCACGCTACTTTTTAACCTCCCTTCAACTAATATCTTGCAGCATTGACCACATGAATAATGACAACAACAAGGGGAAGAGAGATGTCAGCAAACGAGCCGTCAATCAGCACCTTACCATTGAGGGCGACAAGGAGAGGTAGTTCGACAGTCAATGTTTCTGTAGTTGATGCTCTAAATTCATATTAAATACCATTCAATTCTCACTTTTGCCATACTGAAGTTTTGTGTCATGTGTCATGACTGGGCTTTATTGGTTTCTGCTTCAGGTTCAAGGAGCTACTGCGCAGACGGTTGACAGAATGCGGTTGGAGGGAGGAAATCAGAGTTCTTTGCCGAGACACAATCAAGGAGCGAGGGTTAAATAATGTTACTGTGGATGAAATAGTGGAGGAGGTTACACCTAAAGGCCGAGGTAAGAATGCATATTGTTCATGATATTTTCTTGAAGTCAACCAGTCAAAGGGGTTTGTTACATGCTAGCAGATTTTCTTCAAATTGTCATAAAATGTTCTCTTTGTTTCAGCCCTTGTACCAGACACTGTAAAGAAGGAATTGCTCCAAAAAATTAAGTCTTACTTATATGATAAGGCAAATAAGTAATCTCCTTGTGATTTTTGCACTGCCGCAACACCCTGCAAACTTCTGAGTTCGAGACTGACAATGCTTCTTTGGACAGCAAAGCAAAGTGCTCAATGTGGAAGGTGCACATCGCACTAGCATTTAATTTCACCCTTCTCTGATTAAAATGTGAGGGTGTCAATTGTTATACTTTGGAACAATCTCTTTAAGTTAAGGTAGTTGATTCCAAATATTCAACTCCTGGTTGTGTGTTGATCCTGCAGTCTGTTTAAACTCAACTAATGTGTGCAAGTGTTAGTGTACATATTGTAATTATTATATCATTGTTGGGTAGGGGCAAAAGATAGTCCTTGAAAGACTTATTCATATGAACTGCTCAGATAAATATTTAAATTGCCAGTGAAATTTTGAATTAATTGTGTGAAATTCAAAGGCTTAATTTACCAGTATCATGTTCAATTTTTATTTTACATATAAATGTTTTTTCCCCCCTCCCTTAGCCATCCATAAAATGGATGCGCTCATATTGCAGTTGATTGTGAACTAAGTGTTCATTTGTATGTAACCAAACAAGAAAATAAACTGAAATGACTGATGCAAAATAATTGTTAATCATGGTCTAAGGATAAGATGATTCCTCTCTAATTTTAGGAAAAGAAAAGGTACACTGTTTGTAATATTTCAAGATATAAGCTTTTTTTAATTTCAGTACTTGTAGCTGCTTCTACTACAAAATGATATCTCTAACATAAAACAAGAAGAAATATTGGTTACAAGGGGGAAGTCAACAAAGTTTCAGGCAATTAACACTTTTAAAAAGAATACAGCATGGAAACACAACAAAAAAGTAATAAAACCAATCTTAAAACATTATAATGACAAGGTAAGGGGTAGACAAATTATCACAATCATTTCATACTGACACAAATAATCACAAATGTCATTTATAAGTAGATCACAGTAATAAAAATTGACTGAGTATACTCAAGCACCAACTATTTCTTGACATACGTAGTTTTGTTGTAGACACATCCACCCATCAGTCACTTCTTGGATTGGCGCCATACAGCAATGGATCCATCGTGAGCCCCAGTCACTACTAAGGAACAATTGCTGGAGGCAGCTATAGCAGTTACAGGGCCTAACAAACAGAAAATTTAAAAAATTTCTTCCACCTTTTCTTTTTTTTTTGAATGAATGTCCCAAATAAACAAAACTTACTTGTATGGGCCCTGATTTCCTGTATCAGTGACACTTTCAGAAAATCCCACACTTGCAAGGTGCCTGATACTCCACCAAGAAGTACAAATTGGTCAACCAATGCAACAGACCTGTCAAACAACAAGATTGAAAGATTAAGCTGCAGAAAGTGTCCAAATGTGGGGGGTCAGACACAAACAAATACATACTGAAGGCCTTCATTCAGTTCCTTATTGCAAACTAGCATTCCACTTGCTAAGTCAAACACTTTCCATGTTTTGTCATATGCCCCACATGATACTAATTGACTTGCATCTTTGCTCACAGCCATACCTCCAACTGGTCCATCATGTCCTAAAAATTATTTAAAAAAATAAATAAATAGAAGACAAAATGCGTGAGACAACATGATAGAGATACACCTCGGATACACCCTAGTCACAAGAATAGAAACCTACGTACCAGGGAGACTGAGAGGGATGGAATGACTGTCCAGATTCCAAATGAACATAGTACCATCTTTGCAACCAGTGGCTAAAAATTTTCCATTTCTGCCAACAAAGTATAGGAATCACTTGAAGTTTCAACTCAGCATAATTTCCTTTAGAGTATTACAAAATTTTTAAGTACATTCCTTACCCGCTCACAGTGAGACAGACAACTTGAGCCTCATGATCAAGTTCCGCAGCCAGGGAGATGGCAGGTTTGATTTTCTTCCATTCCTTTTCATTCACTGGTAATCTACGCCAGACTCTTACTGTGCAATCCCAAGAACCTGTCACTAGAACAGAATTGGCACCATCATCATCACTGAAGAAACCAACACATGAAACAGCATCTTCATGAGCCACCAATTTGTCCAGAACTCGACCAAACTGCACATCATACACCACTCTGAAAGATAATAATAAATGTAAAAGTACATAATGGATGAATGCAACATAGTATTAACAGGTATTGCATGAAAATTGTGCTACTTACATTGCATTGTCAAATGATCCCACAATAAATCGGTTGTCCTCAGGGAGAGAAATTACACCTGAAAGAGGAGTTGGAGAAAGAGCAACACTATGCATGAGTTGCCCTTCATGAAGTGAATGAACTCTTAAAAGACCATCATTCCCAACAGAAGCCACTTCTTCTCCATCATGCACAAGCCGAAGTGATCTCACATGTTCTCTATGACCTTGGATGGATAACATCTTTTCCAAAACAATATCTGCAAAGAAAATGACAATAATCATAATAAAATAATAATAAGTATTCATTAAACCAGTGAGATGGATAATTTTGTCAAGAAACTTACCAAGTTCATCAGATGTTTCTGAAATTGAACAGTTTAAGAGCAACTGTTGAGCTGGATCAAAGATAATTCTTTTGGGATGTGGATGCTTAAAGACCTGCTTTGGAATTTGGCCAAATTCCATTATTTGAACTTCAAGGGCATGACGTTGGGCAGGGTCCGTAATACTTCCAAGGTCAATGGACCCCTCATAGCAGAGATGATAGAAAACTAAAACATGATATGTCAACGAGTGAAAGAGGGCTTGAAAAAAGAGAATGGAACAAAAGAGCAAGAAAAGAGAATTGTTACCATTGTTAGCCTTGACTGCTGCATCTCCTGTCTGCTTGAAGCCAAAAATTAAATCAATCCATGAATGTAAATTTTGAGATACATAACTGGACTCCAAAGCATCTCTCAGTTTCTTCACAAAATCGGATGGGCCTGAATATGATTCAACATTAAACACAATAAAATGCGAAAAAACGAGTGTCATTATGGAAAATGATGAAACTTACTGGAAGCCCATGGAGGAAGCGCAACATCATTGACTTTTGTCCCATCATGCCGGTAACCAAAATTGATACCATACCTATTGGAGAGAAAGTCTCCATTGCCACTTGTGTCATAAAACTCTGGGACAAGCTCTTTAAAATCAGAGGAATTACCCAGGACGTTGCGCCAGACATCAGGAATGCTTAAAAGAAAAAAAAACATTTAGTACGTAGTAGACCCAGTAGTAGTAGACCCACTAACAAGGCACAAGTAAGAGCACACACCTGTTAAACATACGATCAGGATGATCAAATCTTCCATTCTGAAGACACAGCATATAATGTGGGAATTTGCGAACCAAATAGAAAAGGACAAAGCCCGGTGTGGAATAGTGAGATCCGTACATAAATTTAGGATCTGGCATTTCATTAAAACGATCCTAAAAATTAAAAAGTTGAGTATTTTTAAATTGAAACTTTCTAAAAAAAGGTGTTTATGTGGAGCATACCTTTAATTTTTCCAGTCGCTCTGCATTAAGAGCACCAACTGGTTTCTGTAAATTTCTGTAAGTCTTGAACGCATCAATTTGCAGAGTTTCAGATGTATAGTCTGCAACAACCCATGGGAATACAGGATACTGGGTAAGATCATTAAATGTTCGATCAGCTAAACTGCAACAAAAAGAAAAATTGTGAGAAAAATCTGAGTATACAGGATTACATTTCTCAGGTGGTAAAACCATGGAGACACACAGTGTGTCTCCATGGTAAAACATGTACCTGTTTAAATACAGTAAGTAGTCATAGTTGGAAAGCACCCCATGTTGCCACTGGAGAGTAACTGCTTCTTGTTGAAAATCATCAAGCTTTAGCAAACTCTGTCTCATGATACCCTCATACAAGTCATCTCGCTCTTTGGCAGATTTAAATGCAAGAAATAAATGGGGGATGTTCCCATCCCGACAGTGTACTTCAAGCCCCTGTTTTAAGAATTGTCAAATAAAGAGCATTAGAACAGAAAAGTTTTGTACATCATTTTAGCACAATAACTGTTTTTAACTTACCACAGGTTGCAACAAGAAGCGCCTTTTGACAACACTTTGCATATCAACTAATCTTATTTTCAGTACAGGTTGCTTTAAAGGAACAAAACAGTTATTCATTGTCCTAATTATAATATATATAAAGACTTCTGTATCACAATAAAAATTTTCTGAGTCTTTTACTTACAGCCTCTACATTGTTGAAAGGTTGATAGTACAGGGCAGTATCAGTGAGCAGAATATGACCAGGGTTGACAACCAGAGGTGAGATCTTGCTTCCTTGAGTTTCAATGACCCTTGTTTCATACAAGTCTTCCAGCCACAGAGCATCAAAGCCAGTACGAGACTGCCGAGAAAATGTAATGGCTGCAAGCTAATCAGATAATGCTTAGTTTCAAAAAAAAAAAAAAAAAAAAAAAAAAAAGGGGGGGGGGATCCATGCACAAGGCTGATGTTTTGCATCCTTGTTTTGTATTAAAGAGATAATGTCTTACCATAGTAGTTTGCTCGGCAACAGATAAAGAAGCAGCTCTGTGCAGCTGAGACATTTGTGACAAACAGTTTGGGACATTAGCATAGTTCAGAATGAATTCAAATTTCTCTTTCGTCTATGGAATGAAAATGAAGTAAACCATTAATGACAAACCATCAGAGAAAAATAAAAAATTTGGCAGTAAGGGTGTGAAAGGACTCACATATTGGAAAGTGTATGGTGCCACAATATTGCCTTCAAGCATTTTCACATACTGATTACATTCAATACTTATACCACCATTGCCTTCCTCTTGCCTGGAGACGTAATTTTCTTTCAGCAAGTTACAATTAACATAGAAATTAAACAAAAAATTGGTAACTTACATGACCAGCTTCTTAGGCAGTTCAATGATAGATACGCAGTCTTTAAGAGGAATCTTAATGATAGGTTTTGAAATATCTTTGGGATCGAAAACAATTGACTTTGAGCACAATTTAAGACGACCATCTTGGCGTTTGATAGTATCACTTGCAAGCAAGATAACACTGTAGTCTTCAAAATAAATTTCTCCTGGTTCAAGTAGGAGGAGGGAAAACCTACAAAAGAAAGGAATTAAAAATAAAAGCAACCAGGAAAGGTCTGCTGATTCAGAATAAAAAGCTAAGATTTCAATTAGTACATTAATAACAATACATTTAGACCAAAAAAACAATGTTCAAGCCTTGGAAAGTCACGATAGTAAACAGTTGACATGGGGATATGAGTCGAAGGAAATATACCTTTGTTTATCCATTGCAACTATAAGAGGACATAACCTCCAATTGCAAACTGTCAGCGGCGGTGACTGGTTTCAACGCAACGTATCTCGGCTGATACACCTAGAGAGCTCTTTCGATAGTGTACCAGAATCACAGCAGAACAACATGAGTTCTGAAAATAGGCTTGCCGTGTTGTAAATGAACGCTACGCTAGATTTGATTCCATATCAGCGTTGACTGAGCTCCCTTGGGCCTGAGCTATAAACATGACGTGTGCTGCCCTCTACATCGAGCTTCGTCCGAAAGAAAGTCAAGTCAACAAGTCAAGAGTCAAGAAAGCGTTCTGCTTGGTTCTCCGAGCAACAAAATTCAGGAAATCTCTTCGTTTTGGACCCGTCACTACACTGAAAGTTGCAGGAAAATGACATATAGTAGTCTCGATCAGATTTATCGAAGTATTCTGCTGTCGAAGTATTTTGTGAAGGGTTGGGGCAAACCTGACAACTTGAAAAGGTTAGAAGAACTTCATACACTTTTCCTTATGTTATTTTGTACCCCAGTGAGCTTGTTTTAAAGCTTTGTTAACAACCAGAACATCTCTGAATGTAGATTGCTGCTCTTACAACAGATCTGATAGCATGGTTTCTTTTGGAAACAAAATTTTTCAAATGTTTTAATTAAATTCTGAAAATTGTAAGAATAATGTTACCTCTATATTGCAGACTTTTTGAGTTCCGTAAAATAATTTCTAACAGAGATTTGTGTTACAACTTGATTCCGAAGGACTATCCTATTGTCATTGACAAGGTACTCTCTCAATTTTCATTCCTTCATTTATGTTTTTGAACTTTAATGTTTATTTTAAATAACAAATTTTCATTTTTAGGATGAAGTTTGGTCAGATTATCGAGTCCTTGAAGGACATTTCCGATCTCCCCTTGATGTACAGCTGCCAAACATTATGCCAGAGGAAGTGAAAAGGGCACATTTCCAAATCGTACTGCCGACCAAATGGCAAGAAGAAAATTACAAACCCATGTGTCTTCATTTGGCTGGAACTGGTGATCATGTGGGTTCTGAATCATATCAGTAAAAAATACAGAAACCCATCGATTTTCTGTACCTGATAATAATTTAAAATGTGTTTCAGTACTTTTGGAAAAGAAGAAACTTTATGTGTAAACCCTTATTGAGAGAAGCAGGTATTGGTGGCATGATTTTAGAAAGCCCTTTCTATGGATCTAGAAAACCCCAAGACCAGGTGTAAGTATGTGACAGTTGCGATTTTCGTCTATAATGTTAAACTTGTAATGAAAACTTTGGTCTCTTGATTTCATTTGCTGTCAGGCGCTCAAACCTCCATAATGTGTCGGATATTTTTGTAATGGGCGGTTGCCTGATGCTTGAGTCACTGGTGCTGTTCAACTGGTGTGAACAGCAAGGACTTGGACCTCTAGGTGTGACAGGACTGTCAATGGGAGGGCATGTAAGATCATGGCTTCAAACGTTTTTCTTCCATACGTGAATTTTTACTCTGACTAATCCATTTTTTTTTTCTTTTGTAATTTCTGTCTCAATTTAGATGGCATCCCTTGCAGCAACTAACTGGCCCAAGCCTATGGTCTTGGTACCTTGTTTGTCTTGGTCTACAGCATCTGGTGTTTTCACCCAGGTAAATAACATGGAGAGTGCTTTCAAACTTGACTTTTCCCCGACAAATTCTTTTTAAAACTTGTTATTGTTTTAGGGTGTTATGAGTGGTGCCATACCTTGGGATATTTTGAAGTATCAATACTTTTCAGATGATGTTTACAGAGAGGAAATCAGAAAGATGGTTACTATAATAGATGATGTAAGTGGTGATTTCTTCTATTTTTAAAATGGTAACTTGAATCCTTATCCTTCTTACCCTCCATGTGTTTTGTTGCCAGGATGCATTCAAAGCAGGCAAACACTTTGTCCAAAAATATTCGGACGACACAAATGATCTGACAAATCTTCAACCCTCACCGAGAATAGAGGGTGAACTTTTCAGTCCCAAAAAATTTGTGAACAATCAAGATTCCAATAAATCTGATCCACAAGAAGCAGATAAATGTCCACTAATGGATCAAGATGATCTATCAGCTGAGAAGACAGTGGATGCTCTGGCTCAATCTTTTGCTGCCATGTCAAGTTCTATTGATGAAGAAACTGATTCAAAATCGGGAAAAGAAATAAGAAAAGAAGAACTTGGTAAAGATATTCTTGATAGTTTATCAGATTCAAAGTTTAAAATGCTTACTTTTAAAGTCAAAACTTCTGATGAACAATCCCCTGAAGTCAAAAGAGAGTTAGAAGATTATCAATTAAGGAAAGGTAAACATCATTGCTTCTCTTGGAATAATAAAATAATAAACACTTCCTACTTTGTCTTTGCATAACACTTAGTTTTTTCTTTGTAAATTTTGCATGTGCTTTTTTATTTTATTGATTATAACCTGAACTCTGAACTTTTAGTGCCGTTTTGTATCTTCCTTAGTCTTGCTTGTTGTTTTCTCTCTACCCCACTTTCATTAAGTTTTTTCTTTGCATGGTTGTAATTTATTGTGTTTCTTCCATGAACTAGTTAAATACTTCTGAAGGAAAATCCAACCTGTGATGCTTAAATCTCATTGATCCCTTCATTGTGTACTTGACCATGATTATTGGCTGAGTTGGCGGTTAGCCCCAAGCCCACAATTACCTAAAGTTACTGTTGTACCTTTCCTTCTTTTCTGCTAAAATTTCTTTTTAAAAGTGCAATATTTTTTATTAAAACCCAATTATAAAAATTTTAAATCTTCTTTAAGTTAAAGCATTGAATTTTCTTATTCAAAATTCAATGAAAGATTTTTGATTGGCTTTCAGATTGGGCTCTTCGCAAAGAGTTACAAGATTCCTCTAGTGAATTGGATCAAGGTAATTCAAGGACAATGTCAAGCAATGTTGGAATTTCCTGTATGACTGTACCTGTTGATTTGGTGCCACTACTGTAAACATCTTTTAATGACCATATTTTTTGTTACAGTGATCGGCCGTAAACTTCCATTTTCTATCCTGGGTCTCAAGTCCAGCTCAGTTCGTGATAGAGAGGCAATCCAGTTCATGCGTGGTATCATGGATGAATGCACTCATCTCAAAAACTTTTCGGTGCCAGTTGACACATCTCTCATAATTGCAATTTGTGCCACTGAAGATGGATATGTGCCAAGAGATGGTGTGACACACCTTGCTGACGTGTGGCCTGGAGCTGAAGTGCGTTATATTAATACAGGTCATGTTGGGGCATACATTTTGCATCAGGCTGCTTTTAGGTATGTTTCGTATTATATTGAGACAGATGTACAGTTTTATGTCTGGCAAATATGTATACCAAATTTATCCTTTTCACAATACATATATTTTGTTTTCATTTACCTGTTTACAGACGTGCTATTAAGGACGCATTTCTTCGAGCCAAAGAGAAGCTCTGTTCATCATAACTTGTTTACAAATAAATCCAACTTTTCAGGCCATTTGAAATATTTTTGTACTCTATGAATTTTGTATGATTTTTTCTAAAGGCTGTTCTTTCAAATTTTTAGCTACAATTTACTGTACACTTGGACCAAGTTGACCATTATGAGAACTAGGATACATCTTTTTCTGATTGTTTTAGATATTTATTTTTGAGGTTTTTTAAATGTCTTAGCTGAGTGTTGTTTAGGTATTGCTGCCAATTGAAAAGAATTTTAAACTGCATGAATTTAGTTAAAAACTTGTACATAAGCTGATTTTGTACAATTGGATGAACAATGTTACCATTAGAACCTGACCTCTAGTCTTAAGCAGAGATTTTTCTATATTTTTCTTTTTAACTTTAGCATCAAAGAAGAAATGTGGACAAATCACTGCTATGGAGCTGTTAGAATAGTATATCAAGTTTCCTTTGTCTAATTACTAAGATAAATGACAATGCCTCAGCTGTGATTGATTTATTTTAAGAATTAGTGAATTTGTCCTTGTTTTAGAAGTGTTGTATAAACATTGAGATGATGTCTGTCTGTTTTTTTGTTGATTATGCGATGCACTGAAAAGAAATTTCATGCTCAAGTACTTTGAATTGTGTCTTGGCAATAGCCGTTCAATGTTATTCTCATGCCTGTGCCAATCTTAAAGTGAAGCTTATTTTATAGCTTCTGAATGGTCACTGTTCGGACACTGTAATAATTTTCTTTGTATTGCAACGCACAGGTGTGTGCGTGTGTGTGTCTTGAGAGGTTTTCAACTGCAGTCACTCTAGTTCAATTGCAGTTTACGTTTGCATCTGGTTCAATAAACTGCCATGTGCTGCTTGATTTGATTTTGTGTGAGTGGTGACCCGTGGGTCTCGTGGCTCCCCTGTGCCTCCTGGTCCCTTCCCTGGATCCTGCCCTTCCTCGTTCCTTCCCTCGTTGTCACCCTCGGCTTGAAACTCAGCGATTGGCTCGCGGTCCTTGGCTCGGACCAGCCGAGTGATTCAGAAGATCGCTTTGTCGCTCTGTCTCTCTCGCACCCTTACGGAGTGCCCCATGAGTGCGAGAGAGACAGAGCGACGAAACGACTCTTCTGAATCGCTCGGCAGAGACGCATGCGCCTGACGATGTGGCGCTGCCAGATTTGGGGGCATTCATCGCCCGTTTGCTTGACCCTCGGCCGCCGTGGCCCCAAGCAGACAGCGGGGGTCCGTCCGGCAAGTCGCCAGTGGTCCCCGTAACGCCAGCCGAAACGAAAATGAGCGGCTTGAGCGGATTACTGGGACAGTGTATCGATCCGTAGTTTGACTCCGCCCTCCAGGCCGCCACGCGGCGCTGCCACCACCGCGGCCCGAACGACGCGCTGGACAAAGAGCCTCTCGCGGCGAAGGGCAGCCATCAGAAGCTGAAAATAAACCATTTTGCGCGTAGATAACATGCGGTTCTGTTTCTGAGCGCTTTTTTATCCTTGATAAGCGCGTTTGAAAAAACGAATTTCTACGCTGGCCGTTGTATGTCTGACTCCAGCTGTAGGACGGAAGCTGCCTGTCCCAGCCAGGCCCAGGGGCCTAAGTCGTCTGCTGCATTCCACTGCTGGCCTCGGGACTGGGTAGACGTCTGTGATTCAATCTCTAGTGACTTTATTATGAAAGTTGACATATCTTATTTTTAACTTCGTTATGTAAAAAGTGCGACGTAGAAGTGCCTCAAGAAACAGGGGGCTCCGGATTTGGGAATGGTCGGGTTTCGTTGGCTCGCAGTGCTGCAGCAGATCGCATGTGCCTATGAGGTTAAGTCTCCACCGAACAAAACATTGACTTGTAAGTAAGCGACGAAATAAAAATAATTCTTTCTGTCCTAATCCCCATTTCCATTATTCGTCAGTTAAACTTGTCAAGTTTCTCTGATTTAAAACCATGGGATTCATCTTTCTTTATGTCATAATCTCTATGATGTGTAATATTAAGATACACATATATGGCACTGTTACAGTGCTTCAAAAACTTAGTTCATTTTGCAAATTATTCGTTCCCAAATTTTTGTTAAACCTTTAAATTTTTTTTCTTATTTGTTCTTACACATTTCCATGCTCTTCAATGATTTCAATTTTTTTCTTCCCCTCAGAAACTGTTATTCAAAGTTTGTTCATGTGATGTGACAACTGACAAGAAAGTAAACATACCATGAGGTCCAAAAAGAAGAAGGTTGAGGTAAGTAGTGGAGAATCTCTAACTTTCTTTAATCCTATACGTGTCTAAAAATAGCTAGCATATTTCCGGCTATAAGTTATGCCTCAGTAATTTTCTTTGTAGTTGGCCTGAATAAAATGTAAAGTGAACTTGACTAGTGCAAGACTGGCAGGGATAATCTCTTGGTCTCCCGTGATGATATGTGTAAAACTGAAAACACAAACAAGATTTCCGAGTAAAACAACCTCAACATTTTAAGCCATCCATAGTTATTTTTCTGTTCCTGTCACTTGTTGACGACAACAACTTCCTAATATTTCTGACCCCATAATTTTTTGTCTCCAATTGTTGAAATCTGTGGGAAAAGGTACCACCTAGTGAGTTTGTATGAAAGTACCGTTTAGTCAAAGCAATTTGGGGCAACGGCCGATAATTTGGCAGGAGGGAAAGTAATTGACATTGAACTTCTGCGCCAACGCCAACCTTGGGGAACAAGTTTCTCAGCTTTATCAAGATGGATCCGTGTGCCCAAGCAGACAGGCCCTGGCAAAAGCAGTGTACTGCATTCAGACACTTGTGAGAGGAAAGCCTGTCACCACCAAAAGCGTATTTATGAATTATTCAAATACAAATAATTCCTCCCCCTTTCCAACACGAGGAGGCAATGTTTATTAATTTTTCTGGTCTGCCACATGATTATTTTCCGGCTGTCACTCCCCTGAGGCCTGTCACGTTCTGTGACGTATCCCTCTGTCCGCTGTAACTTTGTCCACCGCCTCGGGGCTGCGGCTGCCGCTGCCTCTGTCACGGGCATTGGTCACGGGGCAGGCGGCAGGCAGAAGCTTTCGATAGGGGGACGCCTGACGCCTTGTTCCGTCAGCGCTTGCTGCGCTTGCTGCGCTTGCTCAAGCTTTTCCGTTTGTCGTTGCCGTCATTGCCAGTCTCCCGGTCAGCTTGTCAGCTTGGAGGGTCGGATGGCCGGCTGGCTGGTGGATGCCCCGGCCTGCCCTGCCCCGCCCCGGCCGCCGCGCCCGTTGGCTTTCAGTGAGAAGCGGCCGGTTGAGTCGAGGCAGTCTGCTGGTCAGCAAGTACTGCTGGCACCATGGCACCATGGCACCGCGCGCGGCCCCGCCTCCCCCCGCCGCGCCATCACGTTGAGCCAGGCCGCGGACTCCCCTCCCCTCCCCCTTCCCTCCCCCTTCCCTCGGCCAGTCAAGTCGGCTAGACAAGTAGCATCGCGACACTGTCGCGGTGCAGCGGGAAGGGGCAGGCGTCTGTGTGTGTCTGTCTGTGCGTGAATATCGTGTGTGTTTGTGGTGTGTGTGTGTGTGTGTCTGACTGTCTCTGCCTGACAGTCTGTCTGTGTCTGTCTGCCACTGTCTGTGACCGTCGTGCGCACGAGCCAATCTGGTTCGATCGGGTCCGCCGTCGTTATGGACTTGATGGCCTCATACAGATAGACTTTTGCGCGGGAAACGGCCGACTTCCCTCCCCGGCCCCCGGCCCCTGCGTCTTAATCAAATTCTCTCCGGGCCGGCCGCTCTGAGGGTCTTCTTCGCCCTCTGCTGATTGGCACCGCTGTCCGCGGAGGACGTCGAAGATGGGCTCCTGGGCAGGCCGAGGCGTCCGGTCGCACGCACACGCACACACACACACCTCGCTAGACACGCAGGCACCTTGCTCGTGCAGCGCGTGCGGGTGTGCACACTGTGCACACGCGTTCGATCTCGCATCACGCACAAGCTGGATCAAGGGCAGCCGTCGGCATGGCGGCGCCGCGGCGCACGCGTCGGGCCCAGCCGTCGGGTTTTCTTTCGTTCAAACTGGCACAAACGGCGACAAACCAGTGACTCTGAGGCCGCGCCGGTTCCGCGCCTGGCCCGGCCGCGCTGTCCGCCCCGCGCGGCCCCGCTGGACCGTCGACTCGAGACGCCGAGGACGGGACGGCACCGGTTGGCTCGGGTTGGCTCGGCCGGCTCGGCACTCGCTGCCCTTCGCTCCCCGGCTTGGCTGGCTTGGCGCGGCGCGGCCTGTTGGTTTAGGACTGCTCGGCCTACTCCACGGGCCCTTACGGCCACAAACCGCAAACCGACTGACCGGCCCGCGACTGCCCCAGGGCTGCCCCGGGCCCGCACCGCCCTAGACCTCGCCTCGCCCCCACACCCGAAAATACCCGCCCTCGACCTCACCGCCTCACCCGCCCGAAATACCCGGCGCTCCTTTTCGGCCAAGCCTCGGGCCATGCCCGCCCTAGACGTGCACCTGCCCTAGACGGCGCACGCCCCACGACACACTGCGCGCTAGACTGTACTGTGCCGACCGGGCGGTCGTGCCTGCGGCTAGAGCTCTAGAGCCTCTACGCGGAGCCGCTGGCCAGTCGGCCCCGCCGTCCTCTCGCCAGCTGTGTGGCGGCGCGTGGCGCGTGGCGTTCGCGCGCGTGGCGAACGAACCCACCGCGGTGCTAGTCAGTGCGTCGCCGGTGTGGGACTTGATAACATGGCATGGAGCTGCCCCCAGGCATCCCCGGGGTGCGCACTTCCCCGTCGCCGCGCCTGCTGCACTCGCGACCGCGGCAGGCGTCGTGGCCGGGGTCCCGGTGCCCGACACCGGCGGCCTCATGCTGCCGCCCAGCTGCGGGGACCTCCTGCTCGCCGTCAAGCCCACCGCGTCGTCGCCGCTGTCGTCCCCGCTGACGCCGCACAGGCAGAGGGCGCGCTTGAGGTCGGTGTGCCGCCGCGTGCTGTGGCCGCGGACCAAGGTGAGTCGAGTGTGCTGCTGCTGTCGCCGTGCCAAGCCGCCGCCGCGCTCTAGACCTAGCTCCTGGCCGGCCGCCAGCCCCACCGCCCCCCACGCCGTCGCTTCTTCTTTTCTTACCCCTTCCCCCCTCTAGTTCCTTCCTTCTCTGTCGCAGCTGCAGGCTGGCCGAGGCCCACCGAGGCGTCGACTAACTGAACCGTGCTTTCGGTTCATCGGTAACTGGCCTCGGCTAACTGAACCGTGCTTTCGTTTCATCGGTAACTGGCCTCGGCTAACTGAACCGTGCTTTCGGTTCATCGGTAACTGGCCTCGGCTAACTGAACCGTGCTTTCGTTTCATCGGTAACTGGCCTCGGCTAACTGAACCGTGCTTTCGGTTCATCGGTAACTGGCCTCGGCTAACTGAACCGGTGGCCCGTCTCTCTCCTTGTAATTGCGCTGCGCGGCCTCGGCGCCGTGCTTTCGTTTAATTAGTAACTGGCTCCCGGCGTGCGGCGCCCAGCGTTGTGCCGGCGAGGGCGGCGCCAGGCGGTGCCAGGCAGCGCTGTGGATGAGCAAGAAGAGCCGAGAGCCCCGGGCTCCCAGGAAAGCTGGCTGGAATGTGGCTGGAATGCCTGTCGGAATGCCCTGCACTGTCGGGACTGGAAGTTGGAAGCCCTTGTCCCTTGTCGCTCCGCTGCTTGGCTCGGCGTGCCCTGGCGTGCCTCGCCTCGCCCCACGCCGTTCGCAGCAAAGCGAAGCAAAGGCAGCACACTGGCCGCATCGGAACGCTGCTGACCTGTTGCATTGAATCTGCGTCGTGCCAGGGGCCACGGGGTGGGCCGCGGGGCGGGGGCGGGGGCGGGGCGGGGTCGTTCCCCAAATCCGCCCCCGCCCCCACTTGGCCGTCTTGTTTACATCTTTTAAAAGTCCGACGGGGAGGCTGTCGGCCGCTGGCTGTGGGGCGCTTTACGCTGCCCGCCGATATGAAGCGCCGCCCTCGCCACACGCCACTATTCGGCCGCCCCCGCCGCCGCCCTCGAGGGGGTAGAGCAGGGACTTGCAGTAATCGATGCCTGCGCCGCCCCTCGCTGCTGCCTCCAGCCCGCTCCAGCCCGCTCCAGCCCGCTCCAGCCGCCTCGGGCCTCGAGCGCCCTGACCTGGTCAGGCACGCTGGAGTGGCGGTGCAGAGCCTGGCGGCGCAGGCAGGCAGCAGGGGGTGGAAGGTGGGTGCCCGACTGGCACACTGGCCGGCCCAGGCGCCGAGGCGCGCCGAGGCCTAGGCCCACTTGCCCTCCTTGGAGCGGGTCGACACTGCATGTCCCTGGCCAGGCAGGCAGCCAGGCAGGCACGGACTCGCTGGCCTCCCTGCTCGCTGCGCTGGAGTCACGCTGGAGGCGTAGCCGTTGCTGGAGCGTGAGACAAACACGGATCGCCCGGCCGGGCTTCCTTGCTTCCTCGCTTCAGCCTCCCTCCTCGATAAGCCCCCAACCCCGCTCTCCGCTGCGCGATGGCTGCGCGCTTCGCCTTAAGCCGGGATGTCAAAAGCGAACCCTCCTCGCGGCCCGCCCCGCCCCGCCCCGCCGCGCCCCGCTCCGGCTCTTTGGAAAAGTCCTGATGGACTTTATGGAGTCTGATAACCAGCTCGGCGTACATCGCCTGGAGCAGGAGCCGAGGCGGGGGCCCCATCCGCCACCGCCGTCTGCTCCGCCTGCTCCAACTTGTGTGCGTGTGCGAGGCTGTGTGCGGGGCGGGCGCCTCTTCGAGATTGTGTGTGTCGCGACTGTGTGCGGCTGTGTGAGTGTGTGTGTTTTCCACACACGCGTGCCGACCTTCGGCTTTTCCTCTTGAACAGAGGCACGGAGTTCCACGCCGCGACTGCCGGCCCGGCCTGGCCCACCCACCTCTCTCTCTCTCTCTCTCTCTCTCTCTCTCTCTCTCTCTCTCTCTCTCTCTCTCTCTCTCTCTCTCTCTCTCCTTCTCTCTCTTCCTAGCTAGCCGGCTGGTACCGGTGGCGTGGCGTGGAGCGCGAAGGATGCGCCCAGATAAAGGTTTATTTGTCAAGGATAAGCCACACTGGTGCTGGCCACACGTTGGGACAGTTATTTGCCAAAAAAAGAGGAAGAGTGATAAAAAAATATAGGTTTGGTGACAGCTGCTAATCTTAAAATGACATATTTTCGGATCTCAACTTATTGTCAACAAAGCTTACGTTGACCTCAGTGAGGTTTTTTTTTTGCTGAGTTGGGCGAGGGGCAGGCTGGCAGCACTGCTTTGGCGGCTTTTGCGGCTTTCGCTGCGATTGCCTCTACACTGCACGTCCGAGCCGTGAGGGCCGTGAGCCGTGCCGAGCCGCGCCGTGCCCTGCCGTGCAGAGAAGCAGGCGCGTCATATTTCCACTCCTTGCACGTGAGATGAGCAAACACGATGAATTTTTCAGTAGAGTGGCGCTGCGCGCTGCGCGTCGGTGGGCGATCTCGGCGCTGGGAGGGAGAACACAACTGTCGGCCCGGGTAACACGACACAGAGTTTTCTCCCCAAAGTGTAGTCCGTCCGACCGTGGTCCGACCGTGGTCCGGCCGTCCCTCGCTTCGGCCGCCCGCCGACACGCCTGGGCTCGAAAATTTTGCCCGATAGAGCGTTTCGCCTCTACTCTGTCGGACGCAGATTTTGCCCCTGGGCGTCCCGGCTAAAGCAGTGACAGTACACCCGAAAACCTGGTTCATAAAACTTTGAGTCCGCGGCGGGATGCAGTTGCGCGGCCCAGGACCCTGCGAGGTGGATGCGAGTGGCTTGCGCCGCCGGCCCGTGGCGCAGACGACGTTGCCAAGTTGCTTTCGACCAGCCGAGTGATGGTTCGATTCCAAGTTTTGCTTCACTTCGCCTGCTGCGCCCCTTGTGCCGAACAAGGCCGCCTCTCGACTTGTTTACGGTGTGCCGAGCGGGCCGCGCTCCCCGCGGAGGCCAGGCCGCGGAGGCGGCAAAGGGATCGGCCGTTTCATCATCGGACCGCGCTCCCTAGACGCCGCCCCCGGCCCCGGCCCCGCCCCCGCGAAGCGCCGCCAAGACGTTCCGGTGTACATCCGCCTGCATCCGGAGTGCGGGCCGCACCCTGGCCGCGCCATCCGGGCGATCCGGGCCCTGCACAGTGGGCCAGAAGACCGGCGCAGGCGGCCAAAACTCTAGACGCGTTTTGAGCTCCAGAGTCGCTAAACAGGACTCGAATCGGACGAGTGACCCCACCAATGGATTGCTCTCCGAACGAGGAACCCATTGGTGGGGTCACACGTTCGGTTCGAGTCCTGTTCAGCGACTCTGGAGCTCAAAACGCGTCCAGAGTTTTGGCTGCCTACGGTGGTGGGCCCACGGCGGCGCAGAGCGGCGCAGAGCGGCGCAGAGCGGGAGAGGGCGCCTGCGGGGTGCGCGGTAGGCCACCCGCTCGACGGGGCCGCCCCCGGGTGGCCTACCCGCCACCTGGCGGGCGCTCCCGGCCGGCGGGGCGGGCAGACGGGCAGGCGGGCGCCGAACACGACTTTCCAATACGGCCTCGCTTTATCTGAACGCGCCATCGCCATCAGGAAGGAACGAGAAAGGGAAAATGAAGCGCAATTATGTCCCCGGTTGGCTCGGCTCGGCTCGGCTCGGCTCGGCTCGGCTCGGCTCGTTTTGGCGCGGAAAGGAAAAACGCAATTGGGGCGACGACAGAGCGACAGGGCCGCGGGCGCACCTGCTGCCTGCCGCAGACGGATTCCGAGAGTCGTCTCGCTCTTTCTTCCCACAGGGCATCCCGCGCGGGTGCGAGGGAGACAGCGCGACGTCGAGGACATTCGAGATGAGTCTGCCGCCTGGCCGGCGGGGACGGCGGGGACGCAGAGACGGTCGTCGTCCCGGAGCCTTGGCTTGCCTTGGCTTGCCTTGGCTGGAGGTGCGAATTAGGGAGCCTGACCTGGAAAGACCTCGGTCTCCAGAGAGGCTGATAGTGTGCGAACTGGCGCTGGGCCGCGCTGCCGCGCCTCGCCCGTGTGCGGCGGCTGCCAAAACCGGGGTAATCCTCGTGTCGGCCGCGGCGTGACACGGCGGGGCGGGGCGGGGCGGGGATGATGTTTTGAGCCGCTCACCCGTTTCTGTGCCGTCACAGCCCCCGGGGGGGGGGGAGAAGGGGGGGGTCTATTGTCTCCAGCACTCCAGGAGGGGGCGGGCCGCGTGGCCTGGCACGTTGTTGTCGCACGCTGGAGGAGCGCTGCCCTCCTCCTGGATTGCGGCCACCTTGTTTTCCTACGGGAACCTCGCCGCCACCACACTGCTTCTAGTCCGGCGCGTCCCTCCCCGACGGCGTGTGCGGTGGACTGCCGGGGCACCAATGGATTCCTCGTTCGGAGAGCATTCCGTTGATGGCGTCACACATTCTGTTCGAGTCCCATTTAGCGACTCTAGAGCTCAAAACGCGTCTAGAGTTTTGGCTGCCTCCACCGGTCTTCTGGCCCACTGTGCGGGCCTCGAGGGTGCCTGTGGGTCCTGTGGGTCCTGTGGGCGGTGGATGGACAGCTCGCTTTGTCTCCTCGTTCGACGATCATACGCGCGAACACGCACTCTCACGCACACGTGCACGCACACACTCGCAGACGGCAAACACACACACACGCCCGACGCTGCTGTAAATAAACCTAAAGAGCGCATGTTTGCGATGCGCCAACAGGAGGTTGGAGCACCCTAGTCGCTCTGTCTCTGTCGCACTCTCGTGGGGCCTTTCCGCAGGGATACGGGATAGAGAGAGAGAGAGAGAGAGAGAGAGAAAAGAGAGAGAAAGAGAGAGAAAGAGAGAGAAAGAGAGAGAAAGAGAGAGAGAGAGAGAGAGAGAGAGAGCGGAGCACTATTCTGAATCAGCCTGCGCTAACGCCCACACTCGGTGTAACTTCTCCCGGTGCGGGGGGGGGGGCCTCTATGGAATCCACAACTTTACACGGCTACACCGACGACGGGGGGTTTGCTTCGCATGCGAAGCGGGAACGTGCCGGGGTTGTTTTTGTCATGATGCTGTTTTCCCTGTCTTTAAACCGTTTTCGGCCAGTGTACGCGGGGTGGGCCGCACCGGGTGTGTTTATTGCCCGGGTTCGCATTCATGTCAGCGATATGATACGGTGTGGCGGAGTGTCGCCAGGGGGAGGGGAGGGGGCCACCCTTTCGCTGGGCTCGTTTCAATTTTATGAGCACCATTTTCCGCTCCCATGCCTTCCTTTTTATTCATCTCTGTTCGAAGTCCTTGCCGCGTCGACACCCGGCCGGCACCCGACCCCGCCCCGCTCGCGTGTCCCTTTCTTTTATTTATTCCTGCACACTGTGTCCACTTTAAAAAATAAAAAAATATAAAATGAAAGTGGCTTTTTTATATATATTTTTTTAAATCCCCCTCGTCATTTTTATTTATTGGTTTCGGAAGGCGGCCGCGCGGCGCGGGAACGACCCAGCGGATTATACAATCCGGCGGTTATTGCAATCTGGAGTTTATTGCAGGCATTTACGTTGGAGTGCTGAAGCTTCATAAAGGATGCCGAGGCGGACGGACAGGCAGACGGACGGACGGACAGGCAGACAGACAGACAGACAGACAGACAGGCAGGCAGGCAGGCAGACAGGCAGACAGGCAGGCAGGCAGGCAGGCAGGCAGGCAGACAGACAGACAGGCAGACAGGCAGACAGACAGACAGGCAGTGAGGGTACCGAGGCAAATGAAAAGCTGCGAGCCGAAAAGGAAAAAGGAATCTGACGGTAGACGGTGGCTGGAAATGGATGGCAAGCCTGCTGCAAAGCGAAGTGGAAATATAATACAGCCCTGTCTGTCCGTCCGTCCGTCTGTCCGCGGGCTATTTCGGTCCGTTGGCAGCCCTTAGCGTGTCGCGGCGTCGCGGCGTCGCGGCGCCTCGCGGTCCAGTCCGTGGACGGCCGGCCATGGAGCAGCTGGTCCACACAAGGACCAATTAGTTAAAGCCGGCCAGGGCACGCCACTGGCACGCCTCGATGCCTTGTTGTCGAGCCAATTGCTTTGTCGTCGCGTCGGCCACACTGTCTGGAAAGAGAGAGGGGGGCTTTTTGGCCGGCACGCGCCCAATTCTTCTTTTTTTTTCGTGTTTTACTTTTTTGTTTCCAGTTTAAGCGGCCCTTTGTTTCGGCATCAATGGGCCTCGCCAGGCCTCGCCAGGCCTCGCTTTGTCGCATTGTGGGAGCTGATCCAGGCGGAGAATGGCAGGACACTCGTCTCACTGTCTCTCTGTTTGCAGACGACGGCGCGCAGCTGGGTGGAGGCATCGTTCCAGAAGCGCGAGTGCGTCAAGTTCATCCCCAACGCCAAGGATGACTACCGGTGAGTGCCATGCCATGCCATGGCGGCGCGCTGACGGCTGCTGTCGAGGACACCAGCTTCCCCTCCCCTTTGGAAAAGGAAAAGGAAAAGAAAAGAAAATCCAACTTAAATACGTTCATCACTTTTTTTTGTCTGTTGCTAAAGGGATAAAACAGGGCGCTCACACGGAATAAACCGAGCAGGCAGCAATTGTGTTCTCAAAGAGGGCGACTTTTTGGCCGAATTAAAAGTCAACAAGGCGGCAGCCTTGACCGCGCCTCGCTTGCTGTCGCTTTGCTGACAGTGTACTGCACGAGGGGTCCGACGAGGGGCCGCCGAAACACTGCCTGGCCTGACACCCCGCAGTGGCGCGGCCAAGCCCCCCGTCAACCGCGTGCAAGTCAACCCCCGTGCCTACAACACACACTCGAGTCAGCCGGGCCGGGCTCGCTGGCCGATTCCGAGAGTCGTTTCCGTCGCCCTGCCCCCCCCCCCCCCCCCCCCCCCCCCCCCTGTCGGTGCGAGAGAGACAGAGCGACGACAGCGACTCTCGGCCGGCCTGTCCGCGGGCTGTCCGCGGCGCTCACAAAGGGGATGGCACACTTGGGACCCCTTTTGTGCGTCGAGGGGCGCCGACAGGGGGGGGGGGGTGTTTGCCGGCGCCGCTCATGCTCGGCTGGAGCGGCCGGAGCGCCGAGCTCATAATTACAGCCCCGGATTAGGATTAACTGGAGGGGATTGGACTGGCCGGCCGGACCGACCAATAATGGACTCAAATTGCAACGCTGTCGCGCGGTGTGTGTGTGTGTGTGTGTCCGCGCTTTTTGGCGGCGGGTCGAACCGCGGCCAGGCGGCATGTCACGCGCGTGGCTTACACCCCGCTCGCCACCCCGTAAGCCGCTTAGCTCGCCAATGCAGTGCAAATGGCTGTTCCCCCGGCCTATGCCTGGACAGCTGCACACTGTGCGCGTGTGTAAGAGTGTGTGTGCGTGTGTGTGTGTGTGTGCGTGCAGCTCGTTACCTGGGGCCTAACTCGTAGCCCCCAGCCTCTCCAGCGAATGCCGAGTCCCCGTCGGTCCCTGTCCTCGGCGAGAGAGAGAGAGAGAGAGAGAGAGAGAGAGAGAGAGAGAGAGAGAGAGAGAGAGAGAGAGAGAGAGAGAGAGAGAGAGAGAGAGAGAGAGAGAGAGAGAGAGAGAGAGAGGTCCTTTGCCTTGCCCCGGGCCCTCCGCCTTCCCCAGACCGCCGCGCCTGCGCAATTCGCCAAGCAAACACGAAATAAAAAAAAGCAAGAAATAAAAATGCGAAGGGATAAAAATAATAAATAGAGCAAGGAGAGGAGAATAATCTGGTGAAAGCCCGCGAAAGCCTCCGACCGACCGCGCGAGTCGTGTCGTCCGGTTTGCGTCCGGTGTCGTACGGTGGAGAGGGAGAGAGACGGAGAGATGTGGGAGAACGGTGCGACACTGTAATGACTGCAGGCTGCACCTGGGCGGGGGCTGGCGGAGCTGCGATTGGGGCAGGGCGGCAGGGCGGGCGAAGGGGCGAAACGCGTTGCAGCCACGTGCCCCTTAACGAGGCCGGCTCGGCTCGGCCCGGCCCACAGTGGGCCAGAAGACCGGTGGAGGCGGCCAAAACTCTAGACGCGTTTTGAGCTCCAGAGTCGTGAAATAGGTCTAGAACCGAACGTGTGACCCCACCAATGGACAGCTCTTTGCACGAGGAATCCATTGATGGGGTCACACGTTCGATTCGAGGCCTGTTTAGCGACTCTGGAGCTCAAAACGCGTCTAGAGTTTTGGCCGCCTCCACCGGTCTTCTGGTCCACTGTGCGGCCCGGCTCGGCACGGCTCGGCCAGTCCAGCGCCATGCTAATTGGCCCCGTTTCGCCGGCGACTTCACTCGCCGCGTCGCCGAGTTCGAGTTCTGTAGCTGGGTGATGATTCCGAACTGCTGCGGTGTTGTCGTCGCTCCGTCTCTCTCGCACCTCGACGCTGGATGGGACGCCCCGCGAGTGCGAGAGAGAGGGAGCGTGCCGGTCGTTTGGAGGAATCATCAGCTCGCTGCTGCTGTGCCTCTATACTACAATGGACACGTAGCACGACGCTGTGTGTGTGTGTGTCGGCGAGCCTGTCGCCCTGCCCTGACTTGTTGCCTGCCGATTCGGTCTGCGAGGACAGTGGAAGTGGAAGCGTCGGGGTGACGGGGGAGGGCGCCAGATGGATCCTGCAGCATACTGAGGTGGCGGGGCCTAGCGGGGCCTAGCGGGGCCTAGCGGGGCCGGGCCGGGCCAGCCCCCCGAGCGGCGGCGCTGAGGTGGAGAAGTGCCTGCCCGCCCGCCCCTGTTGCTCTGCCACCATCCCCGCCCCCCCCGCCTGCCCGCCTGCCCGCCTTGCCCTGTTGCTATCCCTCATCTTCTACCCCCACTCCCGCCCTTTAAAGCCCCCGGTGGGGGGGGGCCGGGGGGGACCACCAAAACCCCGCCCCCCGGGGGCGGGGCCCGGGAAAAACCACCGCAACCCCTAACCCCACCCCCCCAAAGGAACACTTTTTCTTGGCCCTTGGCCGCTTGCTCCAAAGGGCGCGGGGATGGGGCGAAAAGTTTTTTGGTTTTGTTTTTGTTTGAAGCCGAACGCTTGGGGCCAAACAAAAAATTTTTGTAAAAAGTTTTTTGTGTTGTGGGCGCCCCGCGGGGGCCCCTGGGCTGTTGGCGGTAGGTTTAAATCTCAGGCGCCGCGAAAATGAGAAAATGGTGAAATGAAAAGGGGAAAACGGTTTTTCCCTTTTTTAGTATGAAAAATTGATTGGAAATTTGAACGCGCGTTCGAGTGACTGCGTGTGTGCGCATGTGGTTTTGCTTTTGCGTGCCGCGGATGGCTGGGGCGGGCCGGGGGCGGGCCGGGGGCGGGCCGGGGGCGGGCCGGGGGCGGGCCGGGGGCGGGCCGGGGCGGGCCGGGGCGGGCCGGGGGCGGGCGGGGGCGGGCCGGGGGCGGGCCGGGGGCGGGCGGGGGCGGGCCGGGGGTCCCGCAAGCCACAAGCCGCACCGGGGTTGCTTTGGCGTGACTATGTGCCGCTCTCTGGCTGCGATGCCGCGCACGGCGCGGATGCTGTCTCATCCTCTCATCTCCCGAAGAGAGAGAGAGAGAGAGGAGAGAGAGAGAGAGAGAGAGACTGAAAGGCACCGCCGGGCGTTTTTTTTCTTTCTCTTGCTGTATTTTTGTTGTCCTCGGCGCGCTCCTCTCCGTAGTGCCGCCGCCCTTGCCGCCCTCATTGGCCTTGCCGTTACGGGGGCCATCCCCTCGAAGGAGTGCCTTAACGACGACGACCCGGTCGATGTCGCCGTGCCGCCGTGCCGCTCTGACCTCCATCCCGCAGGCCGCCGCCGCGCCCCGGGGCCTCGAGCACCGCGATGACGCGGGTGCCGGCCGTGCTGGCCGTGTTTGAGGGAACAACAGCCCCCGGCCTCGCCGTCTCGCCGAATGGAGCCAGCCGCGGCAGGGAGCCGCAGGGAGCCGCAGGGAACCGCAGGGAGCCGCAGGGAACCGCAGGGAGCCGCAGGGAGCCGCAGGGAACCGCAGGGAGCCGCAGGGAACTGCAGGGAGCCGCAGGGAGCCGCAGGGAGCCGCAGGGAGCCGCAGGGAGCGCAGGGAGCGCAGGGAGCCGCAGGGAACCGCAGGGAACCGCAGGGAGCCGCAGGGAGCCGCAGGGAGCCGCAGGGAACCGCAGGGAGCCGCAGGGAGCCGCAGGGAGCCGCAGGGAGCCGCAGGGAACCGCAGGGAGCCGCAGGGAACCGCAGGGAGCCGCAGGGAGCCGCAGGGAACCGCAGGGAACCGCAGACCTACTCAGGAGCCACCTGCAGGAAGCGGGGGCCGGAGGGTGGGGGGCGGGGCGGTCCCGAGGGGAACCCCGAACCCGGAACACGACATGTGGCCTCGATTCCGGCTGGCTGCCTGATGTGTGCCTGTCGTCCCGAAGCCCCGTGCGAATCATGGTGGAAGCGAATGCACGAACCAATGAGGAGATTGTCAAACGGACGAAACGAAAACGCAAAAACGGAAACGCGAAAACGAAAACAAAACCGCGAAAACAAAAACGCGGAAGCGAAAACGCGAAAACAAAAACGCGAAAACAAAAAGGGTCTACATAGGTTGTACGACCTTTTTTTGTCCGACCTTACTGCCCCACGGGGCGCCCCGTGCGCGCGACGGAGACGGGACGACGGAGCGACCCTTCGGAGTCGCCCGGCCCGGCGCTGGCCGAAGTTGCTCGGCGCCGAGGGGGCAAAAACTCGCGCAATCATGTGTACACGGCCCCCGAAATCACACGCGAATCATTGAGAATCACGCGAAATCAAGCAATCCGAAATCAGCCAAAATCACTAAAATCGACCGAAATTAGGCAGAATCACACGAAACCAGGCAAAATGAGTCCGAACTCATTTCCTTCCGAACACAATCACACGCAATCACGCTCTACATCACCCTGGTGCGTCGCGAAATAAGGCAAAATCAGCCATGAAATCAATTAAAACCATGCGCAATCATTGCGTTTTCCGAATCATGTGTACACGAAAATCCCGAGTTTTTGCCCCCTCGCTCGGCGCACGTCCGGTGCCGTGCGGCGTGCCGCCGTGCCGCCGTGCCGCCGTGCCGCCGTGCCGCCGTGCTTGAGCGCGGCTGGGTTGAAGCGGCGGGCCGCGCTGGGCCGTCAGGTGGAATGCACATTGATTAGATTGGTGCACCACATGGGAACTCTTCCAACCCACCCCACCCCACCCCAGCCCGCCCCGCCGTGACCCACGCCACTCCACGCAGCACGGCCCGGCGCAGCCCGACGCAGCCCCACCCCGCGTCCTCGTTCTGATGGAAACGCGTCGTCGCAGGACCGTTTAGCATTCGGATGCGTGGCACTGTTGGTTCGGCCTCGGCCCCGGCTCTGCCAGTGCCCCGCCCTCCCGCTGAACGCTATACCCTATTCATTCTCATCAAACTATGTATTCCCGGGGGCGTTCCACAGTGCGCGTGCGCGCGCGCCCGCCGCCCTCGCCCGAGTTTGGCGTGTGTTTGTTTGGGGCCTCTGGGCACACCTGTAAATCCCAGCCACCTGTGCCGCGCGCACCGCACCTCATTTCTCTCTCTTTTTTCTCGCTTTGTTGTTACTGTTGTCCTTGCTGTTGTTTATTGGGGCGGGGTGGGTTGCGGTGCACTCGTAGCAGTGACTTGTTTGAACGGCGGCACAGGTCGGGCTGCGGGCCTGCCTGGGACCGGGCTGCACTCCGGCTCCGTAAACACAAACAAGTGGCGTCCTTTAAGGCGCCGTGCCGTAGTGCCGTGGCGCCCTGCCTGGCAGGGGCCCTCAGAGGGCGCGGGCTGCCCACACTGTGGCCCACACTGTGGGTCGAGGCGAGGGCCACCGGGCCGCGCCACTGCGTGAAAGATCCATAAGGTTCCGGCGGGTGGCCTGTGCCGGCCTGTGCCCTGGTGGACGTCGTGGACGTGCTCGCTGACGTGCTGCTTGGTGTTCCGCAGGTGCTGCTGCGGACTGCCCCCGGACCAGCACCGCGCCGGCACGTCGCTGGGCGGCGGCTCGGAGTCGCCGTCGGAGCAGTGGTCGCCGGCGCGGTGCACCGTGGCGGCCCCGACGGACGCGTACGGCACGGTGGAGTTCCAGGGCGGGCCTCACAGCCTCAAGGCGCAGTACGTGAGGCTGGCCCACGACACGCGGCCCGACCAGATCCTGCAGCTCTTCACGCGCGAGTGGACGCTGGAGCTGCCCAAGCTGCTCATCACGGTGCACGGCGGCAAGGCCAACTTCGAGCTGCAGCCGCGCCTCAAGAAGGTGCTGCGCAAGGGGCTGCTGCGCGCCGCCAAGACGACGGGGGCCTGGATCTTCACCAGCGGCACCAACACGGGCGTGACGCGCCAGGTGGGCGACGCGCTGGTGTCGGAGCGCGCGCAGCGGGGCCCCGGGCGCGTGGTGAGCATTGGCATCGCGCCCTGGGGCATCGTGGAGGGCCACAGCGAGCTGGTGGCGCGCGGCAGGGAGGTGCCCTACCACGCCATCGCCTCGCCCCGCTCCAGGATGGCCGTGCTCAACAGCAGGCACGCCTACTTCCTCATGGTGGACAACGGCACGCAGGGCCGCTACGGCGCCGAGGTGGTGCTGCGCCGCAAGCTCGAGAAGTACATCTCCATGCAGAAGCTCAACCCCAGTGAGTATTGGAACCTCTGCTCTGGCGGCTGGCTCGCTGCGCGCTCGGCCACGGCGCCATGGCTTGTCCGCTGTACTGCTGTGCTGCGTTGCAGGCACCCACTGCAGCACCCCGGTCGTGTGCCTCGTCATCGAGGGCGGCACCAACACCATCCGCGCCGTGCTGGAGTACGTGACGGACTCGCCGCCCGTGCCCGTCGTCGTGTGCGACGGCTCGGGCCGCGCCGCCGATCTCATCGCCTTCACGCACAAGTAGGTCGGCAGGCTGGCGGCATGCAACGCTTGCCTCATGGCTCGCCTCATGGCTCGCCTAGCGCGCGCTTCGGCCGATAGGGCTGTCCCGTTGCCGCGCTCATGACGTGCTTGTGGCAGGTACGCGTCGGAGAGCGGCGAGCAGACGGTGCTGGAGAACATGAAGGAGTACCTCATCACCACCATCATGCGCATCTTCGAGGTGGGCCCGGAGAAGGCCGAGGGCCTGTACCAGGAGCTGCTGGCGTGCACGAGGAAGAAGCACCTGGTGAGTCTCCCCGACGGCCGGCGTGGCTCGCGCCTCGCGCCTCGCGCCCAGTCCCGGACGGGCCTAACCGATGTTGCCTCCACAGATCACGGTGTTCCGGATGAGCGACCGGCAGGACGCGCCGCAGGAGCTGGACCAGACGATCCTCACCGCCCTGTTCAAGAGCCAGCACCTGTCGCCCTCGGAGCAGCTGCAGCTGGCCCTCACCTGGAACCGCGTCGACATCGCGCGCTCCGAGATCTTCGTCTACGGCCAGGAGTGGCCCCCAGGTGCGCACCCTGCGAGGCCTGCGAAGCACACTGTAGCGCCTGTGAATTGGCGGGTAGGCAGCCCGCCGCGCGCGGGCGTCTCGCTGGGGCGAAGGCTGCCTACCCTTGCCATTACCATTGCCACTAAAGGCCAGACCACACATGATCTTGTGCCATTTCGGGCCCCATGCGATGCGGCGCCTCTCGCCTTGCCTTCGGCCTTTTATTCCAACCCGTTGCTCTGTGGTGGATGCAGGCGCGCTGGAGGAGGCCATGATGCAGGCGCTGGAGCACGATCGCCTGGACTTCGTCAAGCTGCTGCTGGAGAACGGCGTGAGCATGCGCAAGTTCCTGACCATTCCAAGACTGGAGGAGCTCTACAACTCGGTACGGTACGGTAGGGGCGCCCCGACGCCGTGCTGAAGCGGCGCTGGAGGGGGGGCGCCGGCCTCACTTTTGTGTTGTCTGCGCAGAAAAACGGACCAAGCAACACGCTGGGGTACATCCTGCGAGACGTGCGGCCCCACATCCCCAGGGGCTACGTGTACACGCTGCACGACATCGGGCTGGTCATTAACAAGCTGATGGGCGGAGCCTACAGGTGAGTAACAACTTTGCACCAAGTATGTTTAAAGGAAATTTGCATTTTTAATGGCGTGGCTCGGCGCAGGGCTCAGTACACGCGGCGGAAGTTTCGCATGATCTACACCAAGGTGATGAAGAAGTCGCCGCACGTCCAGCGGAACAGTTCGTCGTTCATCCGCTACGTCGGCAACCAGAACGCCACGCTGAGCCTGCTGGCGGAGACGCTGCCGTCGTCGCCGGACATGCCCTACTTCGACCACCCCTTCAACGAGCTGCTGGTGAGCGAGCCACCCACGCCACTTTGTTTTTAACCGCCGCCGTTTACGCCCGCCTAACGACCCCGACGCGCAGCGCAGGGCCCGCAATTTAGCCAGGTTAATTAACTTGTTCTAAACGACGGCCTCCTTGGCCTCCTTGCAGACGTGGGCCGTGCTGACGAAGCGGCAGCACATGGCGCTGCTCATGTGGCAGCACGGCGAGGAGGCGCTGGCCAAGGCCCTGGTGGCCGCCAAGCTGTACAAGGCCATGGCGCACGAGGCCGCCGAGGACGACCTGGAGGCCGAGATCTACGAGGAGCTGCGGAGCTACGGCAAGGAGTTCGAGAACATCGGTACCTGCCGCCAGCTGACACACATGAAAAAAAAAACCAGAAAAACAAGCATCAAAATGACTTAATTTGTTTATTTTTTCAGCGCTGGAGCTCCTTGACTACTGCTACCGCCAGGACGACGACCAGACGCAGAAGCTGCTGACGTGCGAGCTGCAGAACTGGAGCGGGCAGACGTGCTTGAGCCTCGCCGTGAGCGCCAACCACCGGGCACTGCTCGCCCATCCATGCTCCCAGATTATCCTGGCCGACCTGTGGATGGGCGGGCTACGAACACGCAAGAATACAAACCTCAAAGTGAGTGCCAAGCCCACTTCCGGCCAAATATTCCATCCTGAAAATGTAAAAATTGAAATTACTGTTGGAAAAAATGAACAACAATATTTTGCCGCTTGTTAGGTGATTTTGGGCCTGCTGTGCCCAGCCTACATACCGCAGCTGGAGTTCAAGTCCCGCGAGGAGCTCCAGCTGATGCCGCAGACCGAGGAGGAGCACCAGCTGGGCCTCGAGGAGGAGGAGGAGGAGTCGGTGGAGGGCGGCCTGACCAACAAGCGCGCCGGGGACGGCCAGCACCGCAACACGGAGCCGGACATCGAGGTGGGTTGGGCCGCGCCGCCACGGCCACTCTTGAACCTACCGCCTGGCGCGTACACGTGTGCGGGGTGGGGGTGGGGGTGGGGGTGCGAGCAGGACGCTGTCCGCCGTGTCGTTGACTAAACAGAAACCCAGTCTGTCCTGACGTGTCGTGCTTTCTCTCTCTTTTTAGAAAAAGGCCATTTCTCGAATGCTGAGTATGAAAGCCAAGCAGGCGTTGTTAGTGCCTCCGCCCATTGTTAAGTCAAAGATAAAGAAAAAGGTACACGATGCAGGTCGCTTGCAGCCAATTTACTTTCACTATTCCGTCCCTCTCTTTTCTGCATGTGCGTTTGAGAGGAAAAGATGCAGCTGCCACGCGCATGTGTTTTGTCTATAACTTCTGTTGATTTTCGAAAGAAAAGAAAAGGTTTTATCTTCTTGATTTTTGTGTTCTAATTTGAAAGGCTTTATCACGATGTCACGCGAATGGCGGGCCTTAGGCCTTCTCACATGCTTTATTTTCTCTCTAAAATAGCTTAGCTTACTTTGCGAGGGAAGGACAAGCCTTTCCTCGCTAACACAAACACTACACTTCATGCTGTCGTGTATTACTCATAGTTTTTTTTTAAATAATAATCTTCCATGTGTAGCCATTATCAGCGCCCCTGGTCTGGTAGATGTAGGCGTAGCTGTAACCAACCACTTGCATGAACCGGGCCACTGTGTGTTGTTCTAGGTACCTGGCGTACAGTACTTTCTTCTCGTTCACTAGGCACTTTAGGCCCTTTAGACCCTCGCCCCTTGCCGCTTGCCGTCCCTCCAGCTTGTCCTTGGTGTCGGCAGGTGCTCATCATGGAGCCCCGGGACTCGCTCGTGCAGGAGAACGGCAAGGTTGTCCTGGACGACGGCCAGTCGAACCCGCTGCTGCAGTTCCCCATGGACTTCTACGACCTGAAGAAGGAGGAGAGGCCCCTCAAGCTGGAGAAGAAGCTGTACGAGTTCTACACCGCGCCCATCAGCAAGTTCTGGGGCCACTCGGTGCGGCACTGCTTCATTCCTCCGTTTCGGTTTGCCGCCCGCCTCGCTCGCTGAGCAATGTTGTTGTTTTTCCTCCAGATCGCCTACATGGTGTTCCTGTACACGTTCAGCTACGTGGTCCTGGTGCGCATGCCGGCCATGCCCACCTGGCCCGAGCTCTACGTCATCGGCTACGTGACGGCCTTCGGCTGCGAGAAGGTTCGCGAGCTGCTGTCGGCCGAGCCGGTCGGCTTGAGGTAGGCCAAAGCCTTCGCTGGAGGAAATCTTTTTTGTAGTGTCTGGTGTCTGACGTGTCGCTCTTTCCCGCAGGCACAAGCTAGCCGTGTGGGCCTGGAACATGTGGAACCCGTGCGACGTGGTGGTGGTGGTGTTCTTCCTGGTGGGGCTGGTGCTGCGGCTCCAGGCCGCCCTCATGTCCGTCGGCCGGCTGCTCTTCTGCGTCGACATCATCTACTGGTACCTGCGCATCTTCACCATCCTCAGCGTCAACAAGTACCTCGGTCCGCTGGTGACGATGATGGACAAGATGGTCAAGAACATGATCTACTTCGTGGTGCTGCTGCTGGTGGTGCTCATCTCCTTCGGCGTGTGCCGCCAGGCCATCCTGTACCCGGACAACGAGGCCAGCTGGGACCTCATCAAGGACATCTTCTTCCAGGTGGGTGGAGAGGGACTAACCGAAAACGCATTGCATTGTTGGCGACGTGAAACTGAACGCGCTTGGTGTCGTGCTTGCAGCCCTACTTCATGCTGTACGGGGAGGTGTTCGCGGACGCCATCGACCCGCCGTGCGGCGACGGCCCGGACATGAAGCCCTGCCGGGTGGGCCGGTGGGTGAGCCCCGTGGTGATGTCGCTGTACCTGCTGGTGGCCAACATCCTGCTCATCAACCTGCTCATCGCCGTCTTCAACAACATCTTCAACGAGGTGAACGCCATCTCGCACCAGGTGTGGATGTTCCAGCGCTTCACCGTCGTCATGGAGTACGAGCAGAAGCCGGTGCTGCCTCCGCCCTTCATCCTCTTCAGCCACCTCTACATGCTGGCCCAGTTCGTGCTGCGCAAGCTGCGCGGCCAGCGCTCCGAGACCTACGACAACGGCCTCAAGCTCTTCCTGGAGAACGACGACCTGGAACGCCTCCACGACTTCGGTACGCTCTTTTCTGTACTATTGACTTGTTTTGGTTTCGATGTTACGCGTGACTCCATTTTGGAATGGCCTTGGCAGAGGAGGAGTGCGTGGAGGGGTACTTCCGGGAAAAGGACGCCAAGCTGCTGAGCAGCATGGAGGAGCGGGTGCGCACCATCAACGAGCGGGTGGACCACATCAGCCAGAAGGTGGAGGACGTGGTGCAGAAGGAGACGGCGCACGCGTCCACGTACCAGGTACTGCTGCGTCGGGGCTCGAGCTCTGTGTTTGCTTGACAAGGGAGTGTCTGCCATGTGCGCGTCTGTGCCCCGCAGAACATCGAGTTCCACCTGCGCAAGCTGGAGGAGCTGTCGGACCAGACGGTGTCTCACCTGGGCGTGATCCACCGCTTCATGGCGACGCAGGGCCGCGACGCGCCGTCCGCGCAGGCGCCCTTCCCCTTCCCGTTCCCGTTCGCCAACATGACGGGCTCGAGCCAGGACGTGCAGTCGCAGTCGGTGGGCCTGGCGACGGCGGGCCTGCAGGGCAGCCCCGTGGTCCCGGACAGCAACCGCTTCCGGCGCTTCAGCGAGCGCTCCGAGCTGGAGGGGCAGCCGTCGGGGCCGGGCCGCTCCGAGACGTCGGGGTCGGCCACCGAGCTCGCGTCGCCCGGGCCGCCGTTCCCGCGGCGCAGGCCCGTGCGGTCGTGGACCGAGGTGCGGCCCGAGCGCTCCGACAACGTGTTCGAGCAGCAGGCCAAGCCGTGCGTGCTCATGGAGGAGGGGCAGGAGGACTCGACCGAGTCCGACCTGGACGACGTGGCCGACGTGGCCGACGTGCCCATCACCGGGTCGCTGTCCACGTCCATCACGTCGCCGCCGGGCTCCGTGCCGGGCCCGCTGCCGGGCATCTGCGCCGTGGGCCCGGGGCTGCGGTACGGAGGACACCCGCACCCGCAGCGCGTCCGCAGGGCCAGCGAGACGGAGTGGGGCAAGCGGACGCGCGGCCGCGAGCGCAGCCAATCGCTGGGCGGCGACGACCTCGACAAGAACATGGAGGTGAGTGACGCGTGACGGTGCAGTGCAACAATGGCGACACTGTCAAGCAAAGCCAAGCGAAGCGAGCCGAATGCACCTGCACTGCTGGGAGGGAAGCCCCTGCGAACGGCAGGGTGGGCCAGCCCGCTCCACACGCTGCGCGGCGGGCTGGCCTACCCCGGACTTCACAGGCGCTCTCGCGTAGGACGCACAGTGGGCCAGAAGACCGGTGGAGGCGGCCAAAACTCTAGACGCGTTTTGAGCTCCAGCGTCGCTTAATGGGACTCGAACCGAACGTGTGACCCCACCAATGGATTCCTCGTTCGGAGAGCAATCCATTGGTGGGGTCACACGTTCGGTTCGAGTCCCATTTAGCGACTCTGGAGCTCAAAACGCGTCTTGAGTTTTGGCCAACTCCACCGGTCTTCTGGCCCACTGTGGGACGGCCTACGACGTGACTGACACTTGACGTGCTGTTGCAGTCCGACCTGGAGACGCGCTTCATGCGGACCCAGAGCCAGTCCGAGGGCTCGGCGCTGCCGCCCAGCTACTTCCAGACGCGGCGGCAGCTCAGCCAGACGCACTCGGAGCCCGAGGGCTACGCCGTCGGCTCGGGGGTGCTGCTGGCCGCCTCGGGCACCATGGGCACGGCGGGGTCGGCGTCCAGGATCTCGGGCAGCAGCAGGGATGGCGTGGAGGGCGGCGCGGCCGGCGAGCGCAGCGTGACCTGGGCCGAGGACCGCGACGTGGCGCCCCGCTGCATGGTGCTGCCCACCGCGCGCGCCACGCTCCGCGCCATGCACACCGAGTACACGAGGTAGGCCGGCCCGGCAGCGCCGCGCAATGTCATTTTACAGTCAAAAAATTAATTTTTAAAAAGTTAATACTGAGCCTAGAGAGAAACTTAATTCTTGTTGACCGTTGGCAATACAATGTCGTGGTCAATACGATGTCTATTGCTGCTCATTGAGTTCGAGACGCCGGAACCACGCCGGAACTCTCGGACTTGTTGACTTCTAGTGCATAGCATGATTTCTTCTTAGTGCATCTGTGGTACAAACTGTTTCTTTCTCTTCTTATCGTGCCCCTCTGTTGTCGTACTCTTCTCTGTAAGTCTTAAAGTATTGGCCTGTACTGCTTGGAGCTGAGCGACCGCCGTGGAGCAAAACTCTCTTAACTTGACTTTGTTAACGCATAGTAGTGTACGAACATAAAATAAGCCTTCTTACTTACCAGTTTTCTCTTTAGCCTAATTCAACAGAGGGGCCGTTGTTTTTAATGACGTTGCACTATATCACATATGGACTTCATTTTCTTTTCTGCTTCCTATCACATTTTACTTCACCTTGCTCACCTTGTTTCTTGTCACCTTTTTCAAGATTCAGAAATACCTCATACGTTCCTGGACGGGGTTTGTGGTGAGTTTCCTTCCATTATCTGTGTGCGCTGTGCGTACGCAGTCAGTACGGCGCCGCTTCGCCGCTGAGATATACATTTTCTTTTGATCTGTTGCTTGTGGCTTGACGTGCCTCCTTCTTGTACGCCTCTTGCATGACGTCATGATGGCGTGGAGCCTCTGAAAGCGGGCGAGGAGCGCGGGCTGGGGCGGGAAGGTAATGGCGGTCCTTGTCGCATGCTGCAGCATCACGGACGAGCTGGAGACGGTCTGCGGCCTGCTGTCGCCGTCGCGCACCGAGCACCTGTCCCTGGGCGAGGCGGCGCAGCGCGTCCGGCACGCCTCCGAGATGTCCAACCCGGAGATGGCCATGTTCTTGGAGAAGGAGACGCTGCGCGACGCCGAGGAGAGCGACTACCAGCTCATGAGCGACCTGATCCAGCACAGGTACGTCTTGCCCCCGGGCGTGCCCCCTGCCTTCGCCTCGCCGCGCCCTCACGTGCGCCTTCCCCTTGCTTCCAGATACAACCCCAACGACCACACCAGCCAGCTGGACCGCGAGCGCTTCGGCAACAACGCCTTCTTCCTGACGGTGACGGACGAGACGGCCTTGGAGCGGCCGTCGGCGTCCGACAGCCAAGACAAGGGCTCTGGTCCGTCAGGCCGGCCCCTGGCGCCGCTGGTCCGCGCCACTGCCGTCGAGGGCGTCCAGGGCGAGGCGACGCCCGAGACGCTCACGCCGCTGTCGTCCCCGGTGGCGTCTTCGTCGCCCGCCGTGTCGTCGCCACTCACGCCCACCACGACGGCCATCGTCCACAAGGCGCCCGCCGGCAAGCCGGGCCAGGCGGGCAAGGCGCCGCTGGCCGTGCCGCAGTCGTCCACGTCCTCGACCTCGTCGTCCAGCGTGAGCAGCATCCCCTACGGCAACACGGAGACCCTGTGCTAGGCCTCGGCGTTCCCTCGCTGGAGGCTCCGACCGCGACACTCTGCGGGCCTCATCTGCCACCGAGCTTGCCCGTTAACGCGAAAGGCAGGGCATAAACACCGTCCTAGTCATCTTTTTTGGCCCTCGTTTGGCCCCCCACTTGGGGATATCTTAACCCTCACTAAGTCTTGGACGTCTCTGCACGTTTCTGCCCGTTTCTGCGGGCATGATCGCGGGCAAGTCCTAGAATAACTGCTGCAGGTTTGTGCGACCCAGGGAAGTACAACGAAAGTATGTGTCGTTCCCATTGCAACTTTGCAGAGCCACAGCTTGTTACTTCGTAGTTTGGCTGTGAATTTTATCCACCTGTCGGGTACAGAGTAGGCTTCTTAACCATATCCAATTGTTATCAAACGACGAAAATAGGTCTGCAAGAAGTGGGTACGTTCTTTTTTAAACTTATATTTCGTTTTAAACATATCCCTTTCAGGTCCACTCTTATGTCTTCCAAGGGCCTGTGGGCCTATCATTCTGTATTACACTATTCCTTGACAACTGTTTGTAAAGTAAGCGCTTTGAGATAGTACGATGTGTTGAATCTCTTTTCTTTATAACAATGCTCATTAAATTGTATTCATCTGTAGGTTCTTTTTCTGTTTTAATGGGTAATTATGGGAGAGGGGTGGGAGGGTTAAAACTTATACCATGTACTTTAAGTGACAGATTTGCAACTTTGTCCAAATTTTGGAGCCTTTGATTTACTTGTTATCTTGTTTTGTTTCAATCTTTGTTTTATAATGTTATTTTTCTGTGCTGGCACAATATTGTCGTCCCACAATGGCCTAACAATTGTTACTTTATAGAATTTCACAGTCTGACAACTGATTTACTGCAACTCTGTGGAGTGCATGTTTCTGTACCCTTAAAGAAAAGTAAAATGACATTGCCATCCTGTTTGAAAGAAATTCATAATGTTTACTTTTACTGTGGCTTAGAGCCCTTAGCTTTTTGTTAACATGCCTCTGCGTTGATTAACACGACCGTTTCATTTTATTGTATGTGAAATCATTATCAATTTCTCAAGGCTGAGTGATGAAGCATCCAGAAAACATCTGAACTCTTTCTATAATTCCCCCAACAAAAAATTACTTAATGAGTCATAAGACCCTTGGCAGTTCATCATTTTTAATTTTGTATGTATTGTTTGTTATCAATTTTAAAGAAAGACAATATATAGCTTTTGCCTAGTCACTGTAAACTCTGTTTTCTCTAAGGTTAATGTAGAAATTCTATTGTTAAAATTATTTCTTGATACTTAAATCTATATCTTTGAATATTTAAGTCTAAAGAGCTATTTCCCTCTCAAAGTGGACTGGACTGTTCTTAGCTTTCATTTTAACAAAATCAATTGCCTTAAGTACAATTTGTGCTTCTTTCAAATGTTTGTCTCTTCTATGCCACTTCCACTAATTTACATGTGTAGAAGAGGTATTCAGTCTCAAAACAGAAGTCTCAATGCAATTAATTTTGCCTTATTGGGCTAAGGCATTCCAACCAACATGGTCAAATTGGCTTTGCCTACAAGAGATGGCCCCTTTAGATTAGAAATCGGCTGTGAATACATCTGTTATGACATAATTTGAGGTTGAGGCATGATGTTTCTTCGTGTGATTCTGCTGGCCTATTCTTGTTACGCTATGAAAAAAAACGGCTCATATTCAGTAGCTATAATGTCTGTTAAGCAATTAATTTTGCTTTAAAAACTTTAAATTATAAATTTGTGATACTCTTCAGAATATGAACATTTCAGATACAATCTGATAGATGTGTGTGCATATCCTAACGTTCGTTCTGCAAACTTTTCTTTGCTCTGTGCAATAAAAATTTTACAGTTTAACTGTTCCAAATTTTTTGATTCATTCTTATCAAGGCCAATGTGACAAATTGACGATGCTGTGTCTGTTCTTGGCACTCAAGCCTAACACACGTAAAATCAAAAATACAAACGGGATTCACACATGTAATTTTGTACCTGTAAATTATCCGAAGAAAATGCCATAATTTGTATGTGGTTGTGAGTTGTATCCCTTGTGACTCCCTTATTCTATTGTTATTTGAAAAACTTTTGTGTATTTTTAATTCCTAAACTTGTTTTGCAGTGTCTTCCATGTTGTATTTCTGAAACACATAAGTTTTTCAGAATAAAATATCTTGTATGGATTTCATAGGTTGCTAGGCTATATTGTGATTAATGCTGTTTGCGTTATGTGAGTTAGATCGTCGTTGAGCTTTTGCTTGTTATTTTGCCCTCTAGGCATCAGTATATTTTGCATCATGTATTGTAATGATATTCTTAATCTTTTGTTTTGAACTGACCTTCATATGTGCGGTTTTAAGTTCCTTTTAAATTTTAATGTTACAGTAGTAATGAATTAATTTTGTGGATTTGATGCATTATGAAGTGCCTCTCATACCAACCTTTACATAATTTGTCTAATTGTGCATTGAATGACAATTTTTATTTAAGCATCCCTCGTATTGTTCCCTTTCTTTCTCGAAAGTGCAAAGCACCATCAGTATTCAAATTTCAGGTTGAATTTCATTTGATAGCCATTGGTTTCGAAGGGAACAAGTCTGTTATTTTCAAAAACACTCTAAATTGCCCAGGGATCAGAGAAAAAACTTCTATAATTTTTTAGTTTGTGTATTTTTTCCCCTTTGAGAATTTAATCCCATGGTAAATAATATCTGCCTGTAACTGGTGCACAATGATGTTGAAACCTGTGATTAAGTTGACGTAGCTTTAAGTTCAGTGGGGTTTTGTATATTCTCTAGGGTAAATATGCCCTAGGAAGCACACAAGTTGTTAAAAGTACCTTTGTGTGTAAAAGTTCAGTCCCAAACAAGTTGTAAATCATACCCTAAATTGTGTTCACATTGATACTTAAACATGTCAGTCCTTCATATCATATTCAACGTTTTATCAAGTCGACTGTCTAGAACCTTTATAGTAGAAGGACTGAATATTAAATACAAATGAGAACTTAAATTTTATTGACTGTGTGTTAACAAAGAATCATGCTTCTAGTTTAGTGTAAAGTTATGATTTGCACTTTTACATCTGTCTGTCTACTGTCCAATAACATGCAGATTAAAATTAATCTGACCCTTTTAAGTGACCTCTCACATGCCCGATATATTTACTGTAATCATGAAATTGAGACTGTTCTATTTGCCTGATTACAATTTATTATTCTTTGTCGAAATAAAGCACCGTTCAGTCTCCTCAAATCCAGGAGTTTGATTCCATTGACTGCCTAGACCAAACCAAACTGTTAAGTGTTTTAGTTATCAGTGTCAGTTGAATGGTTCTGATGCAAGTCGGAAGGACTTGGACTTCCCCAGGCGACACCACGTGTGTGAAGGTGGCGGTCCCCGAGTCAAGATGTATTGTTGTGGGTGAATTTTCTGGGTTTTACAATAAACATACAAGTGGCAGTGTGTACGAATGTATTTCTAGGCTTTGTTATGCAGTTTACAAAAGTACATTTATAATTACACCTATTCATTATCTATCACAAAAATAATCCCTTTGCGTTTATCGAACAGTCATAACTCAAATTATTGATACACCTATAATTTTTGATACTTCATGGCAGTAACGAGAGGAAGCAACCCAAAAGGTCTTCAAAAGGACTACAAACGGTTTTCCCGTCAAAAAGCTGTAAAATTCTTTTAAAAAAAACAAGTGAAAAGCACAAAAAAAATGCTTTGTTGAAGTGATCAACTCGTTGGACAAGCTAAATTTAATAGCTCTAATCGAAACTCCGATACTTAAGCAGGTTGCTTCGGCCGGGCTCATGGCAACAAATCCCAGCTGCGTTGTCCTTGAACAAGTTTTCGGTTCGATTGCAGCTTTCGAATTCAGCCTATTGAACAAGTTGGTTACCTCAAAAGTTTTTTTTTTCAGTGAGTGAACCATTTCCCAGGAGCACCAATACGCGTAGTATGCATTTACATTTATTATTCACTATTAATGCGAGCAAAGTGGGACAGGTGTGCACTTTGAACTGTGAGTACACTGAGTGCAGGCCAATGTGTACACACGAGTGTACTCAAGGATTCCCCCCTCGATTGCCTCCTCTGGCAAACATGTCAGGTGAGGCGTACAAAAGTTACTTCTCACTCTTACACCCAACGCAAAATGCCGCTCGGGCTGAGAGAGCTCGGGAATGTGAACGAGAAGACGGCAGAGAAGTGCGTGGAGAAGCACAAATTAACTGTGTGCGGGCAAGCGCGGGGCTCCGGTCGATGAACCTTGTCCAGTGAGCCGCTCAGCTGTGTCACCTCACCTGCAAAAGTCAAAGATTGAGGGCTTCACTCAAAATTTCGTTCGTCGAAATGTTTTCAGAAGAACCCCCAAGATCCTGAAGCTATGAGATAACCCTTCAGCAGGCTTCTACCTTCGCTGTCAGTACACCGAGCTTTTTTTTCGCAATACGAAGAAAAAGCTCAGTAGGATTGGGGCAGTAATACGAAGAAAAGGCTCAGTGGGATCTGGGGAGTAAAATTCGAAGGAAAAGCTCAGAAGGACGTTGGGAGTTCATCCAATATTTTAATCCTGCCATATATGACTCTTTGATTGCCAGTGGCTCATCGGCGCCCGGCGCCCAGAGTGACTCACCTCGCCAGCGCCCCCAGGACGAGCAGGGCCACCATGGCCGCGGCGGCGGGACCGGCGGGGCGGAGCGCGGCGGCCGAGGACACGCGGGGGCAGCAGTGCTCGGGCACGTACCGCGTGTGGTTCATCATCCAGTAGAAGGCCGTCATCTGCGGCTTGCTCATGAGCACCTCGCCCACCTCTTGGCGGACGCGCGCGTTGTACTCGTTGAGCCAGTGTCGCTGCAAAGCTACCGTTCCTAAGGGCCTGGAAATGCGTACAAGACATACACGCGGCGTTACGTAATATGTGGACTTGCCTGTTGGGGGCTGAGCATCTCCACGTCGATGAGCTTGACGTCGAACGGCACCAGGGTGGCGGTGCGGAATTCATAGAAGGTGGGCCCGTCGGGGTCGTCCTGGACACACAATGCCAAAGTACAGCAGTCTTGAATGCTCGCCTGAGCTCTGAAAAACCTTACAAACTATGTAGGCCTCACAGAGAGGAGTTGCTTGTCATCAGAAGGATTAAGCTTACGTTCGCTCAGAATGCTCTGGTATGATCGACAAGCTACTTTTCTATAGAAGGACGTTTGTTAGCTAGCTTTTGAGATTGAACGAGCGACGGCTTGGCTCGCCGACAAACAAGCCCTCAGCTTCTCGTCTTGCACTCACCTCAGAAGGAGGCTTGAGGACCACCTCGAGGACGTTCTCCAGTCTGACGCCGAAGTCACCCTTCTTGTAGTAGCCCGGCTCTGGAAGAGAAATGGCAGACGCACTGTTAAAATTTGCCGTCACTTTATGACAAAATAGTGGATGACAGTTGTCGTGACTTTAAAATCATAACAGTTTCATCACAAATTCATAAATAATTTTTATCAGAGTTCCTATGCTGAGGCTTGCACTGGCATGAGAAACTGGTTTGATAATGTTCCTGTAAGAAATTGACATTGCAATGCAGGTCATTGCAAATGTGAATTCACTTACCTACAGTGAAGAAGTTGCCGACTTGAAGTCGCTGGGCGTTCTCGCCGTAGAAAATGCTGGGCTCTGTAACAGTGGCACGATTCACAACTGGGAAAAAAAGCATGGAGCAGGAAAAATAATACGCCTGGTTACTCTGTCAGCTGAACTATACATTGAGTGCAGCTACTGCCTGCATGCAGACAGAGTAACCAGGACTCAAATTTTGGGTGAGGTATTCTTTACCACCCAAATTTGGGTGATGGTTTCCAATGTAGCAATACAGGGAGCAGACACATCCTTCACCCTTTATCACCACCAAATTCAATCGAATTTCGATGAATTTTAATGAATTTCAGTGAATTTTACAAGTTTGATGAATTTCGGGGTACAAAGTAGGTTGGAGTTATTTCCCCTAAGGCTCTGCTCACCCTCGTGCACGTTGAGGAAGGCCCCGATGCCGTGGCCCGAGGGGTGCGCGTAGTTCTCGCCGCCCTCCCACACTGCGTGGCGCGCCAGCGAATCCAGGCCGTGCGCGCCCATGGCGGCGGGGACGGCGGTCCGCGACATGTCGATGAGGCCCTGCAGCACGCGCGTGTACGCCTCCACGTGCGCGCGCGACGGCGAGCCGTAGTGCAGTGTGCGCGTCACGTCCGTGGTGCCGTCTGCAAGCACGCGGAGCCTTGCTCACTTTATCAAGCCTTACAGAAAAAAGGAATTTTTACTCTTTTAGAAAAAATCGGAAAAATAAAAAATAAATATTTTTACTCTAAATAGTACGAATACTTTTCGCTCTGAATTATCCGTGCGCAGAATCGACACTCTGAAAACCTTCCGAACTATTTTGCTCGGTAAGCAACAGGCTTGTCGACTATCAGCATGTCGTTCACCCTTCCCTTCCCCCATGTTCCCAGCCTTGTCCTCCCCCTCCCCGCCCCTACCCTTCTCGAGCTGCCCCGTCTAACGCCCTCCAGCGCACCCCCTCCCCCTTCCCCCTTTATCGACCTCTGCCGCCCCCCGCGCTGTGCTCCGCCGTACGCTACTTCGCCAAGTCGCTCGTGGGTTTACGCTGTGGCGCTGTGACGCTGTGACTTGGACTCTTTTACGCTGTGCACGCGCTACGTGCGCGCCGCCGGGCCACCTCCCCCCCGACATGCGAGCCTGGTTGCCGCCGCGGACGGCGATTGCGGCATCGCCAGGTTATGGTTCGAGTCTACTTGCCAAAAGAGATTCGACTCGGATTCGGGTCTTTCAACGGGAGTGGCCGGCTGTAAAGAGCGCGGGAATAACTTGGACTCCATTTTGAATCCTTTGGATGTTTGCATCGCGCTACGAAAGCGGCCAGCCGGAAAGCTGCGAAAGCCCCGAGGCAAGGCGTGACAAGCCGCGGAAAGCCGAGAAAGTCGCGGAAATGCACAAACGCATGCAACGAAATGCCGCCGGGGTAGCGAAGTAGGGGCTTATGGACGGAAGGCCAGGCCTACTCCTGGCCGCGCTGCCCGCCTGGTGGCCGAGATCTCGTTGCGCCAGCCTGACTCGATCCCCACTAACGGCTCCGCTCGAAGCCACGCCCCCAGCAGCGGACTCATTCCGAAAGAGACAGAGCGACGGAAACGACTCTCGGCATCGGTCGGAATGGAACTGCGGGGAGGGAACGCGGACCCGAGGCGGACCAGCCACCGCCACGCGCCAGAGATGAGAAAAGCGCCCCGGTCCTGATCCGCCATGTCGATATCTCGAAAAGAGTGAGGTTTGCGGCCGATATGCATTCAGTGACTTTCCTTGGAAATTTTATTTACTCTTAATTTCATTCTATGATCAAAGCGTGTCCCTGTCACCCTTAGCGAGATATGAACAGTTGTTTCGCAACGGGTCAAGAGGTTTGGTTTTTCAGTGAGTGCCTGGTCAGAAGCGGGTCGCTTGCCTGCCCTACTCACTGTCGTACTGGCCGCCCGAGTCGATGACCACGGTGGAGTCCCTGCCGATGAAGCGGTCGCTGCTGTTCCTGGGCACGTAGTGCGGCAGCGCGCCGTGCGGCCCGAAGCCCACGTGCGTGGGGAAGGCCGTGCTCTGGAAGGACAGCTGCGGGGCACACCGCCAAACGATCAAACCACGAACCGTGGACCAATATACACCGTTATTTCAAATTCAAGTTCCCTGTAAAGTCGTTCCCCCTCATTTCTCACCTCCGGACGGCGGAAGTAGTCCACCCTGGCGGCCACACGCGTCTCGGTCCACATGGCGTCCGTGACGATCTGGTCCTCCAGGAAGCTGAGCAGCTCGCACATGGCGGCGCCGTCCAGCGCGTGCGCTGACCGCATGGCCTCCACCTCCACGGCGTTCTTGACGCTCTTGAGCGGGATCACTGGGGACCACTCGTAGTGCAGGTCATGCCACCGGTGCGCCTGCACGCAAATAAGAGTTCAAGGATCATTTAATTTTTAATTCGATGTCCTGTAAAGCCAATCACCGCGCCTCACGGTCACATCCCTACTCTAAGCGACTCTCTAAGCTCACACTCCACATAAAGTAAGTGCAAAACGGGACTTTTTGTCACTTTTCTAAGATCTCTAGCAAGTTTTGCGCAGAGTTTGTAGCGTCCGAATTCGGCCGATTTTCCTCCACTCACCGTGACCTGCACGGCCTTGGACGCACCCAGCCGCGGGTGGTTGGAGATCCAGACAGTGGTGCGGTTGCTCGGCCTCTCCAGGTCGGTCCAGAAGGCCTCGTACGGACGGATTCTGCGAAATCAAACGAGAAAGTGTCGAATTCAGAAAGTACGGACTGCTGTGGCCTTACTAAGAAAGCTTTCAGAGGTGCGCGAATTTTGATCCGGGTTTTCGGACCTGGTTACTGGCATCCTGGGGTCTCCAACTCGTTGGCCCGCCGCTGACCGGAGTGAGAGAGGCAGGTAGTAGGTAGCGGAGTGGGGGTTCTAGCGGCTGGAGTGGGAGACGGCTGCACGGCAGCAAAGCACTCTGAGATCGGGAGTGGGGGGAGTGGGGGAAGAGCGGCCAAATGGCCCGCCGGGCCCGAGTTTGGAGACCCCTGATTTACACGAGTGAAGGTTGTGGACGTACATGGTGCACAGCCGGTTGGGCGTGCAGTAGGTGGACTTGAGGTGCGACTCGACGATGGGGGGCACCTTGTCCCTGTCCACGTAGAGCACGATGTCGTGCATGCCGAGCCACACGTAGGCCGTGAGCAGTGGCGCGTGCGGCAGGTCGCGCCCGCGGATGTTGAGCAGCCAGGCCACCTCGTCCAGGGCCGTGAGGATGAGCGAGTCCACGCGGCGCTGCTGCAGCGCCTTGCGCACCTCCAGCACGCGGTTGCCCCAGCTCAGGCCTGCCATCAAACAGGACGTCACGGCACTGTGGAAACTCAAAGTGTGCGCGAGGCACTCACGGAGTCACCCACCAAAGCACGCACGGGGAATTCACTACCTAAAATGCTCAACCGGCCATCATATACTTCTCACTATTACACATATCACGCCGATTACATCTTCGAATATATTATACGGCCCTTGAATTTTTAACCGCAATAGCGGCACTAAAATAGATTCACTAGCGTATTTCAAACGTTGTACGGTTTTAAAATTCAAAAGACGCGTTCTTGGGAGCCGTCGTTTAACCCGCGGTAACGTCCTCACCGCGCTGTCCCATCTTGTGCACGAACGCGTTGAGCCTCGGCCGGGGCGGCCTGCCGCGCCACGCGTCGTCCACCACGTCGTCCTGCTCCACCAGCTCGATGGACCGCTCGGAGGCTGCGGACAAACCATTCAGTGCACACTGAACACCTTACAAACTATTTCAGCCTCACGAAGTAAAGTTGCTTCGTGTAACAAAGTATTTGGAGCATAAGTAACCTTGCAAAGAAAATAATTCGGAAGCACTGCAGCCACACTGTGTTCACTCACCCAGTCGGTGTTGCCACTTGTCCCACAACTGGTGCAGCACCACCCTGGAGTCCGCCCCCACCTTGTCGCCGACGCTCAGCCGGTCCAACAGCCAATCAGCTACCTGCATCAAGGCCCATGCAGTGCGTGAGGAGGAACAGGGAGGGGTGGGAGATCCCCTCTTTTGTCCCCACTGCAACTCCGATGGTAAGTTTGCATCCCACTCGGCCAGTGGCGCTCCGTTTTTTGAATGCCTGAATGTGACTGACAGAATCCCAAAATTTGGCACTCAAGCGGCTAGCGACGTCCAAATCCGGAAGTCTCAGTGAGCGACGCGGGGCCAGGAGGCCACATTTAGGCATTCAAGACGGTTCGGCGCCACCAAAGAGGCAAGACACTGGAATTGTAGCACCTGGATAGCCGCATGAAAAGTCTCACCTTGCACCTGTAAGTATGGCAAAAAGTGGTGCCTCCACCGGCCTTCTGGCTGATCCACTGTGCACCCCTGAGGCCGACGCTGGCTGCACCTCCACCTGGGCATGCCACTGACCTGCATGGGCGAGCGCAGCTGCCGCAGCTGCCAGCTGCAGTCCAGCTGCTCGTCCGCGAGGTCCGTGAAGCGCGCGTCCGTCCACAGCACGGCCTCCTCGCGCACGTTCGACGGCGTGCTCCTGGTGACCACGGCCACGCTGCCGCCCGCGCCCGAGAAGCCCGTCAGCCAGCGCAGCCGTTGGTTGTGCTCGCTCACCCACTCGTTCTGCGGGACCAAACAGGCTCGCTAGATCCACCACTTCGATTCTTCGGGTCTCTTCGCAAAGTAAAAACTCTACGAAGAATCGCTTCGTAATTCGACGAAAATGAATGCATTGTATAATCTACAAAGAAGTGCTTCGTATTGTGAAGCAAAATCCTTCGTAATACGAAGCACTTCTTCATTACGAAAGCAATTCTACAACGCCAAAATACTTTGTTACAACAAGCTGCTCTTCTTTGTGAGGCCTAAACTAGTTTGTGAGGTTTGTGTCCGCACCTGGTGCTCGTCGCTGTAGGGCACGATGTAGGCGTCCAGGCCGTGGCGCGCCATGACCCTGCGCAGGGCCGCCACCCTGTCGGCAGTGATGACGCGCTCGGCGGGCTGCGGCGCGTCGGCGGGCAAGTCGCAGTCCAGGCGCGGCAGCAGCGCCCCGGGCAGGCCAGGCAGGCCCTGCTGCACCTCGCCCAGCGCCCCCGCCAGCGCCCCCGCCAGCGCGCCGGCTGCGGACAGAAAGGACACCATCAGGTCACAACTCTCCAGAGCACGGTCAGAGCACTGGAAATGTATCGGCGCGCGCAAATGAGCACGTGCGTGTGCGAGTGTGTGATAGTGAGTAGTTACTCGCTTTGAAGAGAGTGTGCTGACTGCAATGTTGACGGCAGAGTGTACAGTGTCGTGCAAGGGGTAACCAACTATAGATTTTCATGTACACTGATTATATTTAGAGTGATTACATGTGATTTCTTTTGATTATTTTAGTATTTATCACTGATTATAGGAGGTTATTATGTTGATTATTGGGAAATATTGGGGATTATTTGAGCGGCGACCTTAGAAAGCTGTTAAAGTGTCGGAAATTCAGGGTGACTTTGGGCAGCCACTGCGTCAAATTTAGTTGCGGTCAAAGGCCTCCCTCGACGCCTTACTATTCTGAAGGCCCTACTCTTTCATGCCCCGCCTGGGGAAGGCTTTGACCGCTGATAGTTTGGGAGCAGTGGTCTCGCAAAAATGGTCAAAATGTGAATGAATTTCAGAAAATCACCGTTTTTGCTGACTTTGAGCGGTCACTGCGTCCAATTTAGCTGCGGTCAAAGGCCTCCCTCGACGCCTTACTATTCTGAAGGCCCTACTCTTTCATGCCCCGCCTCGGGAAGGCTTTGACCGCTGATAGTTTGGGAGCAGTGGTCTCGCAAAAATGGTCAAAATGTGAATGAATTTCAGAAAATCACCGTTTTTGCTGACTTTGAGCGGTCACTGCGTCCAATTTAGCTGCGGTCAAAGGCCTCCCTCGACGCCTTACTATTCTGAAGACCCTACTCTTTCATGCCCCGCCTCGGGAAGGCTTTGACCGCTGATAGTTTGGGAGCAGTTGTCTCGCAAAAATGGTTAAAAGTGATTGAATCCCCGAAAGTATGATTGTCATTTTATTGGATGATGTTGATTATTTCACTGATTACCAACTAGACGTGCAATGATTATCTTGAGTTGGGTACCCCTTGGTGTCGTGGGTTCGGCGACGACACGACACTTTCGGTCCGCAGTGGCCGATCCGAGCGGAAATAATGGCCGTGGGCGTGAAAGGCAATTAACGCGGCTCGGCTGCAGACTGAGAGTCGCTTCCGTCGCGCTGTCTCTCTCGCACTCGTGGGGCGTCGCGCATCGGTGCGAGAGAGACAGAACGAGTCTGCTGGCGCGCGCCAACTCCTGCTGCTGTTCTTGTCGCGGCTGCGTGGACACGCGTGGACGGCCATTGAAATGCAAAGCAGCACTCAGCCTTCCTGTTCCAGCGCCCATGTGATGAGACCTTGCGTCATAATCACTGCCTTGGCCATATTCACCGCCGGCCGGGCCTCAACGGTGTGTCCTGGGCGCGCCCAGCGGACCAATTGCCGAGCGGGAAGTCTCTATCGCGCTCTCTCTTGCACTCACGGAGCGTGTCGTATGGGTGCGAAGGAAAAAAGGTCGGCCAGAACGCCCTGCCCACCTGGAAGCGGTGGCGCTCCGAACGCGCTCTCTCTCTCTCTCTCTCTCTCTCTCTCTCTCTCTCTCTCTCTCTCTCTCTCTCTCTCTCTTTCAGGGAGCGTCCCGTGCGAGAGAGACAGCTCGCTCCGGCCGAATAAGGGCGCCATCGCCTATCAATTTGATTGGCTGCGTCTGTTTTAGTTTCTTTGGGTTTTGTTATTGTTTTTTCCGCGCATGCCGGCCTAGCTCCTGTGGGCCGGGCCGGGCCGGGCCGCCGGGGCCGTATTGGCTGGCGGGGCGTGTCTTCGAGGCGCCGCGGTCGCGGTCACGGCCAGCGGGCCTCGCGCCCACAGCCGTGCTTTACACGCGGACGCGTGACCACGCCAAACACGCGGACACGCGTGGACACGCGCGGACACTCGCACGTGTATACGCAGGTCATGACCCCCCAGTTACTTCTTCAAACGCGCGCGCTGCTGCCAAACGGTCACAGTCATTCATTTAATAGACAATTGATGACCAGAAGGGCTGTTTAGTCTAAAAGGTGTCAATAGGTTTACGTCCCTAACGAACGGGCACAAACTTTATGCCTTTGTGTTGCCAGAGTAAGGAATCCGCATTCCATTCCGAAACTGGGAGCAGAGGGGGAAGGGGGAGGCTGGCACTGCATATGCTTGCGAAAATGCACGGCTGAACTAAACCACCTGGTAAACACGCGGCATCTGTCTGTCTGTCTGTCCGTCCGCCTGCCTGTCAGTGTCTGTCCGCCCGTCTGCTTGTCTGTGTGTCTATCTGTCTGTCTGCCTGTCTGTCTGCCTGCCTGTCTGCCTATTTGTCTGCCTGTCTGCCTGTCTGTCTGTCTGCCTGCCTGTCTGCCTATTTGTCTGCCTGTCTGCCTGTCTGTCTGTCTGTCTGCCTGCCTGTCTGCCTATTTGTCTGCCTGTCTGTCTGTCTGCCTGTCCGTCTGCCTGTTAGCGTTTCTCTCTGCGTGTCTGTCTGTCTGCCCGCTTGGCCCTGTCGGCATGTTGCCCTTCCCTCATTTCGCCTCCCAAACATTATTATAAAGACGCTCCCCGGCGCCACGCTCCACATCATTCAGCCATTCGGCCGGCCTAGGTGAAGGCAAGGCAGCCGCGCCCTATAAATAGAGGTGTGATGCGCCAAGGGTGTGACGTCGAGGGGCGGGGCGGGGCAAGGTTAGCGCTAGGAGGCCTGCTCAATGCAACTGCCAACACCGGGGGAGACCAGACGGGACGACTTTGATCGCGGTGCAAAGAGAGCCGATTGGCGCGGCCTGCGTGCCAACAAGGAGGACCAGGAGCAGGCCGCTCTCAAAATGACTTTGTTGTTGAAAGCGACTGTTTTCGTTAGGCTAAATTCGATAGGCTATGATCGATAGACTATAAATTCGAGAGGCTGGCTAGGTTCGATGGGCTCCATTCGATAGGCTGAACTCGGTAGGCTAAATTCGATAAGCTAAATTCAATAAACTAAATGCGATATGCTGAATTCGATTGGCTAAATTCAAGAGACTAAATTCAATAAGCTAAATTCGAAAGGCTGAATTCGATAGGCTAGCTAAATTCGATAGCTTGCCGTCATCGAAAATTCGATACCTGGAACTATCTGACTAGACCTGTTACGACGAAAGAAAACTCCAGCTTAGTTGTCATAGTACAAAAGTTCGGCCATGGCTACCAGGTGCCGGATATTCGATTGCAGCTGTCGAGTTTAGCCTATCGAACCAAGTTGATCACAACAAAGTCTTCTTTTCCGTGATGTCGGTGCGCTGTGCACGCGCTTCGGCGGCCCTTCACCGAACGCTGTCGCTGTCAGGGCGCGAAAAAATATTATATCTCGACGGTATATTTAACCGCGAAGGACGAAGGACGGCGCGGAAGGGACAGGACGACACGCCGACGGCCTCACGCGTGTCTCAGGACTGCAAGATTGTCGTCGGCTTCGTCTTCTGGTACGTCGTTTGGTATGTCGTCTGCTCTGTCATCTGCACTGTCGTCTGCTCTGTCGTCTATGCTGCTGTCGGGGGACTTAACAAAGGTAGTAATGGAAAAAAAATGTTGCGGGAGGTCCCTTTGTAAATTCAGGAAAATTCGTTGAAAATTACGGAGAGGCTTCTCGACGATGGTGGCCACGAGTATTTTCCAGTTGAATGAGTGAGACCTCATATTTTTCCCAAATTCCGGGTGGAATTTTTACGAGTTTGGGAGCAATTTCCACAATTCTGGTTGCAAATTTCACAATCATCGTTGTACTTTTCCACCCTTTTTTTAATGTGCCATGCGCACATTTCGTCTTGCCGCCTGCCGAGGCCAGGCCGGATAGATCGAAATCTTGATTCGCTGTGCGCCTCTGAGAATAGCGCGCCCGGCCCGCGCGGCCCACTGCACTACAATGGCAGCGTGGGCGTGCAGTGCGCTGTTGCAGCCGGGGGACACGCGCTCGCACTGCAGACTCAGTCCGAGAGTCGGTTCCGTCACTCTGTCTGTCTCGCACTCATAGGCCGTCCCGTACAGGTGCGAGAGAGACAGAGCGACGAAAACGACTCTCAGTGTGCTGCACACGCTGCACCGCCACTTGAACGCCGGCCTCTTGAAAATAGCTTTCCGCGCGCGCAGCGGAATGGAGCAGTTTGTCGGCAAAACGCGGCGAGAAAAAGCCGCCAAAGTACATCCCGCGCCAAAAATACTCTCGCACCGCAGGGCGAAGGCGCGAAGGGCTGGCTGGGCCCGCCGGCTGCGATCACGAGCAAATCCATAATGAGGCGACGCGAGCCATAGGCGGATACACAGGTGCCTAATCGGAGTGGGGAGGAAGCAAAGTAACCCACTTTGCAAAGCTTTGCCAAAAGTTATTGTAAATTTTTTGAAAAAAAAAAAAAAATATGGCTTTTTTTCCCGACCAAAAAGAAGTCGGGAGTGGCTCTTTGAGCCGCCGCCTCTGCTTCGCACTTCACTTCGTAAATCAGCCTCCGGCGGCGCCCGAGGCGGCCAAGGCAGCCCGCCAGACTGATTTCGCGCTGCGTCCCGTCACTCTGTCTCTCTCGCACTCATACGGAGAGCCCCGTGAGTGCGAGAGAGACAGGCAGGGGCCAGCCTGGTGGCGCCGGGAAAATAAACCTGCGGCAAACGGCCACTCCCAAGGCCCTGCATACTCTAAGCAGCTCCTCTCCTACACTGCAGCTGGAACTCGGTGCCGAGCTTCACAACAAGAAGCATCTCTTCGTAGATTTTAGCAGTGCCGTCGTTTCCCTCGTGAAGCGGTGCTTCGTAGACTTTTTACAGTGATGGTACTTTTTTTCCCGAGTCTCGTGTGCGGGCGAGTCCGGCGTTCGAAATGCATGGCCGTTGATGAAGTTGAGGCCGCAGCTCGTCAAAAGATTGGTGACCAACAGGTGTAGGAAGGAGGGGGGGAGTGCCACTGGGCGTGACAGCCCGCGCAACATCTCCGTCGCTTACCCTAATAACGATATTCACTCTTCCGGCTCGCCCCGCCAAGCACCGCGACCGTCTTGCGACACTGCGGACTGATTCCGCGAGTCGTTTATTCGTCGCTCTGTCTCTCTCGCACCCCTAAGGAGGACTCGCATGGGTGCGAGAGAGAGACAGAGCGACGAAAACTGTTTTCGGAATCTGTCTACAGAACCCTACAAAGACCTGCTCGTTGTAATACGAAGAAAACGAAGGCTTCGCAGCCTAACGTCCCTCACTTGCATGTCGCACTGTTGCAGTCACAAGTCAGCCCCTAAAGTCGGCACAATTGGAGTACCTCCTGGGGAGAGGGAACAGGGGGGGGGCTCGCTGGGTACCTGCATGAGCCTGTCCGTCGGGTTGCCTAGCCTCTCCATGGCAGGCGCCCGCCGCTCGCTAGACAACCCATGCTCTTTCAAATGAATTGGGTGCCTGCCCTGAGCCTAGCCTGGCAGCCTGGCCTGGCCGACGCCACGGACCGTTCTCCGGACATTTAGAGCGCGGATACTAGTCCAACATCATCCCCATAACTGTTGATTAAAATCCCCCCAATGAAACATTTTATAAACTATAAACACACACACACTCTCTATCTCTCTCGAGTCCACCCTGTTGACTCACGGTTCCGCTAATGCCGGAACGTGTCACACGATCCTCTCCGGGGGACGGCGTTCGAAGCGCCTCCGCCGTAGCCAGCCAACCCGTGGAGCGAGCGAGGGAGACAGAGGGGTGCGTTTCGTACGTCGAACGCGGAGGGGCGTAAAGTCTCCCCGGGAGCCACACCCAGGTAATCAGCACGCGAGCCGCGCCAGGACCACGCCACACCACGCCCTGATTCCCGGAAGCGATGTTTCGGAACGTGCGCCCCGCAGGTTGATACCGAACACACACACACACACACACACACACACACACACACACACACACACACACACACACACACTCTCCCTCTCGCACTGCGGGTGCGTTCCGTGGGGAGCGAGGAAGACAGAGCTGCTGTTTGGGGGCAGCCTGCTGGCTGGTTTAGGGCCGGGAGGAGTTATGACTCAAACGGCGGCGGATTGGCGCCACTGCGCCACGCCACTGTGAGAAACGGCCGCACGGCTCGTCGGCGCTGATTAAGTCGAGTGGCTTGTCGGAGCGGAAAGACGCGCGCTCTGAAGTTGAATGGGGCTAAAGTGGTGGCGATTGCATTAACCCAAAATGGGATTTTGAGGGGATGATTTTGAGCGAGGGACCCGACGAAACACCTCCACCACCTTAAAAAAAAAACAACAATTTTTTTGAGCGTGCCTGCCTGGGGTGTGCCTCACCCAGGGCCGCGAGCACGTGCAGCAGGAAGACGGCTTGCAAGTCCATGGTGAGGAGGAGGAGGAGGCTACGACCGCGTGGACACGCTGCAGCACATCACACAGTCCAACACAACTTTTGTTCACTTTCCCGATTCGCGCCCTCTCTGGCGGCGTCCTTCGTCACTTCCCTCGGCACTTTCTTCGTCACTTTTTTTCGTCACGTCCCTCGTCACGCCTCTGACACTTCTTCGTCACGCATTTCGTCACGTCCCTGGTCACGTCCTTCTTCACTTCTCGGTCACTTCCCTCGTCACGTCCGTGTCACGTCACGCGTCGCCAGACCGCCACATGACGTGCCGCACGCCCGTGGCCCGGCTCGTCCGCGAACAGACTGAGTTCCCGCCTTGGGCCGCGCCTCCCCGCCGCCAGGCTGGCCGTGGCTAGCCGTGGCCGGCCTCCCTAGCCGCGGGTAGCGCCCCGCGCCCGCGCTCTATCTGCCGAGCGATTCAGAGGATCGGCGTGTCACTCCGTCTTTCCCGCACCCCAGTGGACAACCCTGTGAGTGCGACAGAGACAGAGCGACCAAAACGTCTCTCGGAATCAGCCTGCTGGGTCCTTCTAGCCGCCGACGCCCCCACGCCGCGCTAGAGACCCGGGACAGGCGCCCTGCCAGCACTCCCGTCCCGTCCGCCCCGCCACGGCCCCGCCCTGTCCCTGCCGCCTCCCAGTAACCGCGTGGTGCCGCAGCCGTATCGGCGATCGGATAGGCGATCCGTTGTTTTGGCTGTCTGTCCTTAGACAACATTTAATGCAGTGATGGCCCAAGGGGTTTCTTAAAAACTTAAACGAAGTACTAAAATTAAATATTAAATTCTAAATAAAAATCCTGAAATGACAATGAGCTGTGTGTGGCTTTGACTTTAATTAGTAATTTTAGAGAAAGTAAATTTCAACTCTTGATCCGGTTTGTTGATCAGTAAAGTCTTGCAATCTAGTTCCTTCTTTGAAGTCCAAATAATTTTGTGGTTGTGAACAATCTGAAATATCATTTGGGCATCAAACAATGCATCAGGCCCCATAAATATGATTATTACAGAGTAAAGAAAAGCACCCTTACCCTCAGTAGCAATGTCAACAGGTGTTGTTCAGCCAAGCGACGAGCTATGCAAGAACGAGGTCCATGCCCAAATGGCAAGACAAGGAATGGATTGTCTTTAACTTGCAAAGGGCTGCCTTTTATCCATCTCTCAGGTAAGAATTCATTGGGTCTGGCAAAATATTTCTCAAGTCGACATGATATTTGGTTTTGAGTGACAATATTGGTCTGAAAAAAATTATACAATTACATAGTTAAAACTACATTATTATGAATGCACATTCAGTCATATTTTTTGAAAACATTACAAACTTACTCCCTTTGGTACGTTGTACCCGGACAATACAATGTCCTGTGTTGCAATTCTACCAACACCCACCGATATGGGGCTCATTCTGAAGACCTCCTTGAGAACTGCGCGGGCGTACGGAGCATTTGCTAGAGTTTTTGCTGTCACAGGATCCTCAGGTGACTGTAGAATTTTCTGGGATTCAAGCCGAAGAAAATTTTGGACCCTTTCATTTTTTGCCAAGTAATACAGAGCAAAGGATGCTGTGTATGCAGTCTGAAAAGCAATTATTTATTCTTGTTTAGATAAAGAGCTTTCAAAATCAGCTTCAGTAAAGAAATTCTGATGAGCAGCATTTACTTACAGTGTCAATTCCAGCAAGAAGCAAATCTACTGACATGCCAACCACATCTTTATAGTCTAAGTTAGGGGATGAGAGGTACAACTCGAGCAGAGATGGGACGGTATTTTCTGATTCTTCTTTATTTTCCTTGGCTAAGGAATCTGCCTTTTCCTTCACCAATTCCACTGCAACACTAAGGGCCATGTGGGTCACTCAACATGTTTGCAGTGGGACTATAAGACCAGGGACCAACCACAGTAAATGCCTTTAAGTGGATTCTATTTTTAAAAAATCAAGCAACTGATTGACTGTAGGGAAAAGGCAAACTTACTCTTCCATATACAACATGGCACTCTCAAATTTCTTCCACGACCTGGCTTTCTTTACATTTTTCTCATTGTCTAATGTTAATACCAGACTGTTAGTTGTCAGAGCAGCATCCATTAAACGAGAAGACATGGAATCAGGTTTCATTTCGTTGGTTGAGAAGCAGTCAAATTTTTTATCAAATGCAACTAAACAAGTCACTGTAAAATTTTTTAGACATTAAAAGGTGCCTCTATCTGCGTGGATTATGGAAAAAAACAGAAAAGAACTCACATTGTAGAAACAGCCGTGATAATTCTGGCAGATAGTCATCTCTTTGTTGCATTAAACGAGATGCAACAAATTCTTGAATTATGTTATCAGTGACAGGTAAATAAGCTCGCACAGCCTGAGGAGCACTAAAGCCTTTCTGAAATTCCTTCCGTAGCTTCCACCAATCTTCCCCATTCCTAAAATTAAGAGAAAAGTTCACACTAAGAATGAGACAATACATGTAACAGGAGTAGAAGGAAGAGGAGACCAAAACCATACGTAGTGAGTAAACCTCCAGTATTATAAACATGAGGACGATCTTTCCGTAATACGCCAACAGCAAGATGACTTCTTCGTTGAGGTAGATTGTTTTCAGACAGAAACAGGTGTTCCATGTCATTGGGATCAAAGATCCACACAACAGAATTTCCAGGTACAATTTCTTCTCTAACGATGGGGCCATACTTCAGGTACTTTTTGAGACCAGTCTTGTGAAGTTGTGTAAAACTGTAAACCCCTTTAAACAGAGACAAAAATAAGTATCAGTCACAAGGAGGAAATGTATCAATTTTCAATGCCAATTTAACTTACCCATTAAATACAGGTAGATGGTTCCAACCACAGGAAGAGATTTTGGTCCAGGAATTTCATGGAATTTCTTGACACTTTGCTCTGGATGACATTTTGGATCTTCTGCAAGACTGACACTTGTTCTAACACTCACCAGTGGTTTGAGATGGTGTCTTCGAAATGTTTGAGTCAGAAATCTCGATGAAGTGGCAAGACGCATGATTGTAGACCTCTGTTGAGTAGAAAACACTCAGTTTGAAACAGACTTTGGTTTCCAACAAGGCCCGACACAACACCACCTGAACCAGAAGGCTCCAAGAAATACAGTGAGGGAGTTGGCTATAAAACGACAGAGGTAGATGTAAAGAAGGACTGGCTTCCCCTCCTTCCCCTCAGCTAAAGTCATTGAAATTCAGAACATGGACCTGAGGCCAGACCAGAATACTGAATGAAGCATGTCAATTCAGTTTCTGGTAGTCTGTAACCTTCGATAAGCAGTTCAAAGTCAAGAGCTCAAGAGTCAACAAGTAAACGTTTGCCAGGACGGACCAGACAATTCAGGCTATTAGCGAAATTAAAAATTAATTTAAACCAGTTTAAAATTAGTTTGTGGCGAACTACAGTTTCAGCTTCAGTGGCAAATGGGCAGCTAAACACAAGTGCTCAGTTGACATATAAAGTGAGGACAGGAAGACCATATGCACTGGATGCCCCTTACCCAAGACAACAAAACAAACGTTCAGTACAGTGTAGTGGGAGGAGCGCCGGTCGAGCTGTCTGTTCCGCGGTGTACTGTGTGTGACAACCAAACCCATGTACGTCTGCTCCTACGTCTCTTCTGAAAGCTCAGCTCGGAGACCAAACGCACGGCAGACAATAGTTCCACGAACCCTATTTGCTGATGCAGCACTGGAAAGCAACAGGCAGCAGCCTGCCCTGTAGCAGCACAACAATAACAACAACAACACCTGTGCACACTCGGGGGGAAAGAAGAAGCCGGTCCAACAACACACTTCGCAGCAACTGACCACTAAATGCAATGGGCCAAAATTTGTCACACTTTAGGTAGAGGTGGATTCGAACCGGTGCCCTTACCAGCAGTTCAGTTCCTTGATCGGTAGCGATGGCGATACTCCGGGCTGTCGGCTGGCTGGCTGGCTGGAGGCGGCTTTGCTTCTGCTGTGGAATGCACGAGCATTCGGCAGCCAACCTCCATCATCCCGCTTACATCCCATCCGTCACGTCCTCGAGTCCCAAAACTTTCAGAGAGACAGAGTTATCATTTTTAAATGTATTAAAAATTAAATGGTCTCATTAACATGCACAAATTAGAGGCTTTTATCGTACAAGTACATCACTAGCTGGTCGTGTTAGGTTGGCAGCGTTCTAAGGCACCAGTTTGGTTTTTGTGTACACTTGACACCCTTGCTGGTGTACAGAATTTTTTCTCGCGGAACTGCGAAAAAAATGTGTTTTGACAAGACGCCCTGCCACCTACTTTCTTAATTTTCAAAATCATTAAAAGGCAATAAGTTTACACGAGTTGAACTTGTTAAGAACGTAAGTATTTGACACTATGGAGGTTAGGTGACATACACCAGACGACATCATCTGACACATATTTGTTATAATTTGCAATGGGTTTCGGCAGACATTAAATTAAGTAAGGATCGATGTCACTTGATTCTTATGCATCGCATGCCACTCTTGTCCTTAAATCTCGAGTATTACTGTTTCATTCTCCATTGTTGTATCAATGTTTCCTTCCGATCATAAAGCTATTCAGTTTCGCAAGCCTGTAATTAATGTTTTGTTACCCTTCAAACTTCAGGGTCCCTTCAGCAAACAGAAAAAAATGTTGGGTAAGAGATTAGTTGATGATGAGCCAGACCACGCCCTGGAAGATGAAGTCGTTCAAGAAGTACTGAAGGAAGGAACAGACTTGCGGCAATATTCTCATCAAATAGAACTGGAGCTGCGTGATGTAGAAAATCAAGCTATCAAGGATTATACCAAAGAAAGCACAAACATAGCTCATCTTCACAATCAAATCACAGCTTGTGATAAGATCTTAGAGGTACTATAACTATTAAAATCCATCAGAAAGGTTGCATCCAGAAACACTATTTGGGCTAAATATGTTTTACTTGCAGCGCATGGAGACTATGCTTCTCGGGTTCCAATCAGATTTGGGAAGTATAAGCACAGAAATACTGTGTCTTCAAAAGAAATCCATTGATATGAGCCAGAAGCTCCAAAATCGACAAGCTGTCCGTGCTCCTATTGCTCAATTTATTAATGATCTCGCCGTTTCAGAAGCACTGATAATGTAAGCAGCTTCTTGAATCTAAAAGCTGATTTTTCTTTTGACTTTAAATATTTTTTCAAAGGGTAGTGTTACACCTTGTTTTTGTTTCAGAGGGGTTGTTGAGGCGCCTGTAGCTGAGAAAGAATTTATAACCCAACTGAAAGTTTTAAATCAAAAAATAAATTTCATGAAGGAGCAAACCTTTAAAGGTAATGCCTTCTTATGAAAGCATGTTTCCTAATTTGTCCCTGTAACTCTAATGTTTCTATTATTGTCTTGCAGATACTCGTTCATCTCAAGATGTGAGAGATATTGTGGAGAAACTTAAGCTCAAGGCAATTGCAAAAATTCGTGCTTATTTACTTGAGCAGATTTCAAAGTTTAGAAAACCAAATGCAAATTTTCAAGTTCCTCAAAATAATATGCTGAAATTCAAGTAAGTTTGGAGCCTCCATTCTTTTCTTCAGTGTATAGTAGTAAAATACTATATCCAGTTTAATTCACATTTCTGTTCTAGATTTTTCTTTGAATTTGTCATGGCTAATGAAAGGAATGTAGCTGAGGAAATATGTGCAGAGTACGTTGATACCATGGGAAAAATATACTTTTCATACTTCAAAGCTTATTCTACAAGAGTTTCGAAGCTCCAAGTAGGTGGAAGTTGTAACCTTTCCTTATGTTAGGAAAAATCGAAAAAAAAAATCTAATAATCACATTCTTTTTTATTTTCCAGTTTGAAGAGCATGCTAGCAAAGATGACTTAATGGGCATTGAAGATACTGGGTCTCGAGGCTTATTTTACAAAACTCCTTTAAAGAATAAAAGCACAGTTTTCACCATAGGTAGTCGAGGTGATGTTCTGAGCCCTGAAGGTCTAGAAGCTCCTATCATAGTGCCACATGCGGCACAGAAATGTGATGCGAGGGTGAGATTTTGTGAGCTATGACTGTTTTCCGTAAATCTGTATATCTCATGTAACATTGTTCTTGTCAATGATTTCGTTTATACATTACCATTGTGAATTTCTGCAGTATCCATTTGAAGCATTGTTTAGGAGCGAACAATTTGCACTGGTGGATAACAGTTGCAGAGAATTTCTTTTCATATGTGAGTTCTTCATGATGGGTGGATCAGCTGCCTTGGAGTTCTTTGACCAAGTGATGGGAAAGACCCTTGGTCTTTTGATTGTAAGCCTCTACTAAATTTCCCCTCGCTGCTGTAACTTTTGGCAAATATTTTTAATGTTATTGTTTTTTGGTTGTTTTATTTTAACAGAAAAATCTTGAAACTTACACTCAAGATTGTTTTGATACTATAGCATTATTTCTTTCGGTGCACATTATCTTACGCTATCAGCTTCTCTGTCATAAAAGAGCAGTTCCTGCTCTGGATCATTACTTTGATACCCTTCAAGGAATCATTTGGCCTCGGTCAGTTCTACCTTAAGATAAAAAAATGTCTCTTTCTATCTATGGGAATACTAATGTAACACATGCTTTTCTTTTCAGGTTTGAGTATATTTTTCAGCAGAACATTCAGAGTGTAAGAGATTGTGATCCAACCAAATTTGGGAAAGAAATGCGACCACACTATGTAAGACAATTGAGACAAGATTAGCTTTGTTCTTAAAATTCCATCAGATTTAGTGTGACCTACAGTCTCTCTTTGTGTACAGATCACTCGCCGTTATGCAGAGTACAGTGCTGCTATTCTTGGTATAAGTGAAAATTTCCCCAATGATTTAGTCACTCGGTTGTTAGCTGAACTCCAAGAAGAAGTTGAACTGTTTATTCTCCGTATGGCAGCAATATTCCAACTACGTAAAGAGCAGCTTATATTTTTGATAAATAATTATGACATGGTCTTAAGTGTTTTAACGGTAAGTTTAATGAAGATTCCGTTGGAATCTCACCTGTATTCATGCACCAGTATCTAATTATTATCATTCTCATTCTTTAGGAACGAACTCGAGAAAACTCTAAAGAAGCTGAATGTTTTAGAGAGCTGCTGACCTCTCGTAGTGCAGAATATGTTGAAGAAATTCTGTCACCGCACTTTGGAGGCCTCATGCAGTTTGTCAAGGAAGGAGAAGCTTTGGTTGACAAGAATCAGATGGATGAGCTGAAGAGGCAGGAAAGTAAGTCACTTTATGTTTATTGAGAGAGCTTCATTTTGAAGGATGTGGTATCCAGCACTAATAATTTTCTGTACATTCTTTGCAGAGAAAGCTCTAGCCCTGGTGCAAGCTTTTAATGCAAACTGGAAAAAATCCCTGGAGGATTTAAATCGTGAAGTTCTCACATCATTTTCCAATCTTGTCACAGCTTCCTCTTTACTTCAGTTGGCCTTAACCCAATTAGTTCATTACTATCATCGCTTTCACAAGCTCCTTTCAACTGCAGGCCGAGCACAGCTTACAAACATTCACCACATTATGGTAGAAGTGAAAAAGTATAAAACTAGTTTCTCATAAGGTTTGAGGCAATATCAGCAAGATCTGTTCAAGTGTATGTTGAAACTAATATAAAAGCTGATAAAAATGGTTGAAGTTGTGAAGTTCTTGTCAAGAGATTTTCATTTGTGATTTGTTTAGGAAATGGGCAGTGAGAAAAGAGACAATACTTTGGGGCATGTCATTGTACATTTTGGAGATATTTATTCAGTTGAGTTTGTTTAAATCATGTTCTTACAGTAGAAGGGTGGAGGTCTTCAATTATTCGAGCTTTTATTATACATGAATTTTATTCCAGCTTTTCCATTTACCTATATCCTTTTATCCATGGACCTTTTGAATGCCTCTGCCCATCTACATTTTCAATAGTTACCTCTGTTGTGTTATTCTTACTCATTTCTTTTCCTCAGTTTTCTTTCTGTGTTAAAGGAATCAAGAAGTAAATCTGTTGATTTTAAATACCAACTTCTCTCTTTAACTACGTAACTCTTTCACAATGTCCCCACACATGTGGAATCACATTCAAGAGTGAGCGTGAGGTGAGAACTTCACTTTGGTTTCGTTCCTGCGAAACAGACCAAATAATCAAAATCTTCCTTGCTGCATGTCCAGACTCATGACCTTGAGCAATATGCATTAGAAAAAGAGAATTGCACCATAGGTTCTAGGTCAGGGATTTCCAATTACAAAACACTAAAAAGGAAATTTTGTTTTATTTCTTGGGTTATTTTATAACAAAGAATTAACAGTAGGTGTTGCACAGTAACAAGTTGAGAGACAGATAATTATGCCATATTTTCAACTTAAATATCATGGACGTTGGAAATGAGTATGTGATGAAGGTAATCGTTGAGGAGGTCGCCGAGTTGTGGGGTCGGGCACTCGGGTGTTCTGGTTATGGTACACCCGGGGAAGTTGTTGAGCAGACCTGGTAGGAGCCCTTTGTCAGGAAGCATCATGGGGCTGGGGAACATACCCAATACGCTCCCGAACAATGTCCTGTTTAGTTTTTGTAGGTCCGTCCCATGTTGTTTGGGCTGGAGTGCCTTTTTTGGCTTCAATTTCCTTCCTCATTGATTCATATTCCTGGGAAGAGAAAAAGTTGAGGCACTATTAAGCCTGCTGCGGGTATTTCTAAATGAAATTGAGTAGAAGATGAGGTACACAAACTAAGCCAAAACTTGTCGTCTTTAGGGACTATGAAAGTGTTGTGAGCCAATATTTGCATTAATTTGAAAGGTTAAAGTCCTTCATTAAACATCTGCCTTACCTGTAAATCATCCAATTTCAGGACTACTCTTGTGGGACTTCTACGAATCATCTTTAGTTTATTGTCTGTAAAGAAAGTCTATGTCTCATTGTTGCATTTGATTGAAAAATTGGGTTTTACAGATTGGCAGGTGACAAGAAAATAAACAACACTTAAGAAACGAAAGGGACGGCAATTTTACCTGAGAGATTTTCCTATAGGGTCAAACCAATTTAAACCGCAAAACGGCAGATTTTGTGCATCCTTTTGTCAATTCAACCTCAACCTCTCAACTCGAAAGAAAATAAACAAACCTTGTGGCACCTGAAAGACTTGGTTTGGCCTCAGAGCGGCGCGCGGTCAGTGGTGGGGGTGAGCGAGAGAGGCTGCAGGCAGAGATGCGTAGTCCACAGCGCTGCCGCCGCCTCCGTAGGGGGGCGTCGATAATAATTCAGAGGGAAGTACCAGGACGGTCATTGGACGCAAAACAAGACCTTCTTTTATTTTCAAATATTTATTAAGCAATTTTTAGCAACATCATTTTGACAATTTCAATAATATTTTGATGTCACATTTGGTATAATCGAGCACAGCTGTAAAAACCCATTCATTGGTGCAAGAATATTGCTGTAGGTTCATATGTATAATCATGATAAATATACCAGAACTGGGTAACAAAAAGAGTCAGGAGATCAGATGCTTATTTACAAATTATCAACAATCAAAAGCAAATACATACTTGTAACTATTTGTACATACAAATGCATACTAAATTCATAATGTTTGTATCCCAAATCTGACAATGCATTTCCACTTGTCATTTGGCTGTCAGTCACCGTAAGACAGATATTCTCTATCTTCATTTAGTTTACCATACAAAATGTGGGCAATGAATTTGGTTGGCCTAATCAGTCTTTGACGCACCTAACTCATTTAATCTGTTCCTAAAATCTCACAGTCAAGGTGAATATAGTACTCAACCTCGCAAAAAATGCATTGCCCTTTGCAATTTTATGGAGATGGCAATCTGATTTTATCAGAAAGCAAAACAAAAAATGTTGACTAGAATTTAAAAAGGTCATACCACACCTTTTTTGGCCTTCTCTGTTCTCATGTTATTCAAATACATTTTTTTAATATTGGTAATATTTTGGTAGACCAGTTCCCCGATTTCGAAATAACCATTTCGAGTAAGTGCTATCTAAGTATCTTTGGTTTTGGCATAAACTATGACAATTTTCTTTTTGAACAATATGAAAGGAAAATCGCATGAGGTGGCCCAAAAATTGTAATGTGCACCTAAAATTTGTAAACATCTGTTTTTTTTATGGCCAGTAACGGGTCACAATACTACATTATGAGCACCAGCCTGCATACGCAATAATGTTGCATCAGTCATTGATTCTTTGAGAAAAGGAAATAATCCTTGAAATCATGCTTATTGTGTCACGCAGGAGGGATAAAATTTCCTTGAAACTTTTTAAAGGGACACTTATTGTCAACACACTTAATTACATGGTTGGCCTAAATGCATAGGAGCTTGAGAAATTATGAATTTTCCATTTTGAACACTGATTGATATTGACCAGTTATCTTACTTAATTCAACCATAAATATGAATTACAGTGGTTGTAAGAATTTTCAAGGATACCACTACTGAATTTAATACACACTCGGGGTCTCAAACATATCGGCATATAGTAGTTTATGAGCACAAAAAGGGACTCACATGTCACCATTCTGACATCTAGGTATTGGCTCACTGTCAAACTACTACTGTATCTACTAGTAAACTTGGTCCTGGAAGCAAATCTTTAATTTAGGAAAGTTACATTTACATGGAAAACGAATTGTATATTAAGTGGCAACAAAAAAGCAGATACAGCATATTTATATAAATTCTAATCAGCTTTAGGGGAGTACCGATGCCCAATATTTTTTCTTTCCAAATCTACTTGTGATATGCCAAGGTGATATGATATCAACTAGGAGGCTCTAAATCACGAAATCTCAAATTTACTTTGAACACTACACTATCATTTTCAATCCCTTTCTAATTAGAACCCAACAAACTCCAGGCAATTATTAATTTAACAAAAAGGAAACAAATTATTGAAACACAGACATGTGGAGGAAATAAACTTTCCACTCTGTAAAATTTGTCTTTTTAAAATTTATTTTAGTGGATTAGCCCTGTATTGGCAAGGATAACAGCAAAATGAGAATACGAACAAACAAAATATGGGCTCACATCTTAGATACTCACAATTAAAGGTATTTTATCTACAGCACATAGCATTGAGTTAACACTTTGCTATATCTGAGTAACAAAACAATGCATTTACAAATGTATTGTGTACAATGTCCATACACATAGATATATAACTATACATATTTATAAATGTATGTTCAACAATTCGGTGAAAAATCAAAGCCCACCCCCCCAAAAAAGAGAGGAAAAAAGAAAACAAACGCCAAGAAATTATTACACAAACAGGACAACCCATCCAGCAGGTATTATGACAGTATCTGATCTGTGGTTATAGTACCCTATGTACCAACAGTATTGAAAAACTAGCCACCTCAAAAGAAATCCTGAAGCAAGGATTGATTTACCAAAGCAAGGGGGTGGGTATGGGCAGAGATGCTATCTACTTTTGGACTATAAGCGGAATGTAAAACAAACCATGTGATGCAAGTCCATCCTGCTTGCTCCATTAAAAACAAATGAAGCATTTCTTTTGTCAGTACAGACATTAATGCCCAATTTATAAGAAAATAACAAAGTGAGCGCTTATGCTCAGTATGTACAAAGAATTAGGACTCTGTATGTACATCCTTTTAACACAGTGATACAATAGTACATTAAAATTAAGTACAAAATGACTCACCTCCCATATTTACATGAACACAAAATAATACAGTGCCATACAAAGTGGACCATTATTACTAAGTAACTTGTAAGTCAATAAAAGCGGAACTTACTGACTACGATAAGCAAAAGACAGTCTCTCTGATTGACTTTGCCTGAGTCTTCACTGTGACGACTGCAACTCAGGATGATATGGCACTTTACTGTGAGCTTAAAAGACACAGTCTTCTAGAGGCTCCAAACATCATCTTTGGTAAAGAGCTAGCTTATGCAAAATATGTACATGCTACCGTTGCATCTTACACCATTTCTGAGACTTGTGTGAAAAGCAGGCAGAACTACCAACCCATGGGGCCACCTCAAATTTTTCTCAGTCTTAAAAAATTACAAATAATACATTAAATAAATAAATATAAAAACATTGCAAAATGACTAAATACAAAGGTAGTTAAAAATTGAGATAAACGAGGGTTTTCTTAAACCCTTTGATACTTAAAAACATTTGAATGGAGACTTTTTTCTGTCTCAGATAAATATCAATACTGACAATGAAACATCTCAAATGATAGTCAACGTTCCAAGACTATCACACCACTCTGGGACTCCACGCGCACAGCTTCAGTGTGCGAACTCGCCATCGCCACTGGACGCCAACGGGAAGCTGGCCGAGTCCCTGGTGGCGTTGTGCAGGTCCCCGCCGACCGCGGTGCGAAGGTGCTGCTGCAGGTGCTGCTGGAGTCCGTACTTGAGCGAGGGCGACATGCTGTGGTCCTTGAAGCAAGGCATGTTGATGCCCGCGGCCCCCATGCCCGCGCCCTGGCTGGCATTCCCCCGCATGGCCATGGCGGCGGGCTGGCCCAAGGGCTGGCCCTGGCCCTGGCTCTGGCCCGGGTGGTACAGCATGACGCCGTTGTGGTGCGTGGGGATGGTGGAATGCTGCCGAATGAAGTTGCTGCAGCTGCTGGCCAGTTGCTGCTGCTGCTGTTGTTGCTGCTGTTGCTGCTGCAGCATCGCGGAGGCGCCGTGCGCGGGCAGCGTGGCGCAGTGCTGCTGCGCGGCAGGGGGCGGTGGCGGTGGCGGCGGCAGCGGCAGCGTCGCGGCGGAACCGGCGCCGAAACCGAGGCCGTAGCCGTACCCCGAGGAGCCCAGCGACGTCCTGCCGTAGTCGGGCTGGTCCGTGAACGACGTCATCCTCATGTTGGTGGCGCGACCGAACTTGTCGTCCTCGCCGTCCTTGGACGAGGGCGTCTGCTTGTGGCGCCGGATCACCACCGTGTCGTCGTGGCCGTTGAGCTGCAGCGTGGCGGGCACGCCCTGCACGCCCCCAGCCGCGCCGCCGCCATTCTCCGCCACCTCGCGCACCGGCTGCAGGCCCGGCAGGGCCTTGATGAGGCCGAGGCCGTGGCTGCCGAGCCGCTGCTGCAGCGACATGGGCTCGGGCGGCGCGGGCGGCGGCGGCGACTCGTCGTCGTCGGCCAGGGCGGGCTGCGGCGGCTTCAGGGTGACGCCCTGCGACGGCTTGCGGATGCTCGAGTAGATGGGCTGCGACTGCAGCTTGAGCACGGTGGGCACGGTGGCGGGCGGCACCATGGCGGCCATGGTGGGCACCATGGTGGGCCCTGCGCCGGAGCCAGGCGGGGCCATGCCGCGCGTCAGCGAGAAGCTCTTGTACTGCGGCGGTGGCACCCGCGCCGGCTCCAAGCACAAGTCCGCTACGCTGTTGGCACGCCGCGCCTGCTGCTGTTGCTGGTACTGGAACTGGTACTGCTGCTGCTGCTGCACTTGCTGCGGCTCGTACTTGAGCTGCTCGTACAGCTTGGGCTGCGCGCTGGACTGGCTGGCCGACTGGCTGGCCGAGTGGCTACTGCTGGAGTGCACGCCACTGGTGTCGCTGTGGCTGCTGTGGTCGCTGTGCGTGCCGCGGTGGCTGAGGCCCGGCGGCGAGGCCGTCGCGCACCCCGAGCTGTCGCCGCCGCTGCTGCTGGCCTCGGACCGGTCACTGACGCTGGCGGCGGACCCGGGGCCGGGCGGAACGGACGTCACCTGCAGCATGGGGAGCATGGCGTCAAAGGGGATTCAAAGAGACAGGCCACGCAGCCTACAAGGCCGTCGCCACGCCAATGCCGTCAGTTCGACTCAGTGCTGTGATGCCTTTGTGCAGAGGGGCAGCTGTGAAACCAAGGGGGAATAACTCTGGCCAAATTTGTACTCCAAAATTCATCTAAAATTTAAAAATCACTAAATGTTATGAAATTTTTTGAAGTTTTTGGCAAAATTTGGCAGTTTTTGCCCGAAATTCAATGTATTTCCAGTGAAATTCATTTGATTTGTACGCCGAAATTCAAAATGATTTCCCCTTGTGTGAAACGATTAGTAAAGCAAAACGGCAACGTGCTTGTGTGATGAAGCGTGGTGAACAGTGACACTCGCCCCGTCGTCACAAGCAGTGGCCACGAGAACACCAACATGGTTACCACACTAAGTGCGTGTGACAGTAAATGTGACTGAAAAACTGGAATACACTCCATACAAGACAATGTGTACATCTAAACAACAACAAACAAACATTAAGCTCCCTCGCAATAAACAAATATACATCCCCTAAACTTTGACTCACAAATCTACATGTATCGTACGCAGTGAGTGATCTGTGTTACCGCTAGCTTAGCTAAGTGTACAGAAATGCAGTGTTAATATCAAGCAAACACTAGGCAGAGAAGACAGGGCAGGGAAGCCCATCATTTGAGCCAGTATCACAATTTAATTTGGGGGCATCTCAGACAACTTCTCGGCCCACTCGGCCCCAGCCTTCAAGATGGCGCACTGCCCCGCCTTCTCCAACGACGACAAAGCAATAGGCGCCCGACACCAGAAAAGCACAAAAAATAAAGAAAATACCGTTCGCTTCGAAAACCAGCCAACCATTACCTGTATGCATACTGGCTGGTACATTCAAAGGTTACACACTAGGAACATGAACATGACACAAGGACTAACGTTTGGGGGCGGCGGCGGGAGGTCGTCCAGGTCCGGGAGGGGAGCCTCGTCTACGTCAGAGGCCGTCGTCAGGGGCTCGGGGGTCAGGAGGGGGCTGGGGTCTTCGTAGTCGCCGCGCGGCTGGCCGGTGTGGCCTCGCCCGGGGGGTGGGTGGCCCTGCAGGCCCTGTTGGCCGTAGTGGCTTCCGGACAGGTTGCCGGGGACCGCGGCCGCGGCGCTGGAGGCGGCGGCAGCAGCGACGGCGCAAGCTCCGTGCAGCTGTCGTCAAGGACAAGGTCACCCAGAGCCAGAACCACGTCGTCCTCCACGGCGTCGTGGCGCCGGGTCGCAAGGAGCCAACAAAAGACACACAGCCCCTCCCACGGTGGGCCAGAAGACCGGAGGGGGCGGTCAAAACTCTCGACGCGTTTTGAGCTTTGCAATCCCTAAACAGGACTCGAACCGAAGGTGTGACCCCACCGATGGATCCCTCGCTTGGAGAGCGATCCATTGGTAGGATCACACGTTCGGTTCGAGTCCCATTTAGCGACTCTAGGCTCAAACCCCGTCCGGGGTTTTGTCCGCCTCCACCGGTCTTCCGGCCCACTGGCCCACTACGCCTCCTCGCCCCCGCTTACCTGGTTGCTGGCGGGCATCTGCGCCACGAGGGGCAGCTCCTGGAGCAGGGCGTAGTCGCCGTCGTCCACCACGGCCACGCCGTTCTCTCGCCTGCGGCAAAGAAATGGAGAGTATAGTTTTTAACACGTTGGCTGCAAAGGATGCAAGGGCGATGGGTGGTTCACACTGTGAATCCACCCGTCAACCCTGTCCTCGCGGCGACCAAAGGAAAAGTTAAACAGCCGAACCCCACCGGGGGCCCCGTAGTCTGCTGGACGTACTTGGTGGCGGTGTCGTCGAAGGTGACCTTGGGCTTGGCGGCCTTGCGGCCCATCCAGGACACGCCGACGGCCTCCTCGCTGGCGCCGGGCCGCAGCCAGTACACGCCGGTGCCGGGCTGGCCGGGCTGGCCGGCCTGGCCGGCCTGGTTGATGGGCTCCATGGAGGTGCCGGCGCTCGGCGCGTTGCTGCCGCCCGCCGCCGCGCTGCCGTTGCTGTTGCCTGCGCGACAGAACCAGGGTGGTCAGCTGGTCTCTGGAAAATACTCGACCCGCGGACTCGGTCCAACCCAGCCCAAGCCAAAGCCTTACCGTGCAGTCGCGCCCGCCGGTCCTGCTGCGACTTGCTGATGACCCCCATGATGGCGTTGCGGGGCTCAGCGTCCGCCACAGTGTAGGCGCGCCCGTTGCCCACCACGAGCAGGGGCTCGGTGGAGGCCTCGCCGCCGCCGCTGCCTGCGCCGCCACTGCCGCCCACCACCGAGCGCCGCCGGCCGCTCAGGAGCTCCACGTCGGTGCAGAGGCGGACGGAGCGCGCCGACCGGACCACGGCGCGCGCCACCGTCACGCGGAGCTTGAAGGTCTGCGGGAGCACGAGCCAGTGAGGAAACGCCGCCAAACTAAAGCGCAGTTGAGTGGTCGTCGGACAGACCAACGCATTTCAATGGGGTTTCCAAGCCCCCTACTACAACTCACCCATTTGTGCTTGACGGTGAGCAGCAGCCACAGCACGACCCAGCACAGCAGGTGCAGGATGCAGGCGCACAGCGTCACCAGCACGGCCGTGTCCAGCGAGCCGCGGTACAGGATGGTCCAGTCGTGCACGAGCGGGGCCTCGCACACGCACGCGCACAGCAGCACGCACAGCGCCGAGCAGTGCGTGAAGCACACCCAGCCGTGGCTGCGCGGACGCACTCGGATCACGCGCTTGGCCGCCTCCGTCTGCAGGAACGCGTGCAGCCTGCGGGGCACCAGCAAGTATACACGTCAGCCCGAACGAAGTAGAGTGCAGGCAGTGGTGGTCGTCCTGCCTGACCCATGACCCATGCCTGCCCGGTCCTGACCTTCCGTAGCCGTAGAGGTACAGCACGAGGCTGGAGGCCATGACCAGCAGCGTGGTGGCGATGAGCAGGCCTAGGGTGAGTCCCGGTGACAGCAGCATGCCGGCGTCCGGCGGCGGCGGGTGGTGCTGTCCGTGTCCGAGACCGTGGCCGACGCCGTGGCCGCCACCGTGGCCGCCGCCGTGGCCGGCCCGCAGCGCGCGCTGCACGGCCACGCCCAGGCCGGCGGGCAGCGCCTCGCGCACGCCGAACACCTGCACCTTGTAGAGCGCCGAGGCGCCCAGCAGCGCCAGGATGCTCTGCGCGCCGTTGGCCGCCAGCTGGATGGAGAAAAGCGCGCCGAACGTCTTGTTGCCGCGCCAGAACACCGCCGGGTAGCGCACCGCGTACACCAGCAGCGCCAGCCCGTAGTTGAGCAGCTCCGGCGACACCGTGGCCCACGACTCGGCGTCTGGAAAATGGTTTGAGAAGGCTCTTAGTTTCAAGTTTCGTTACGTGTGTCGAGAACGTGTGCAGACGTCTACCGGTTTCTTTTATATCAAACACAACGGCGACGCTCCCAGTCGCGCCCTTAACGACTGCATGCACCAGTGCTCTCTCTCTGTGTCTCTCTCGATCTCCCTCCCTGAAAACACACACACAGAGAGAGAGAGAGAGAGAGAGAGAGAGAGAGAGAGAGAGAGAGAGAGAGGCGCATCGCGCTCCCCTGCTGCTGTTATTGCCGATGCTTCGTCGTGATTTTCGTGAAAATAAATAAAAGGGCGTGCCTCACAAGGGAGTAGTACGAAAAGGGAAACGGCGTTCTGCGAGATCCCCCTCATCCGCCGCATGCAAGAGAGTTTAAGGGCAGCCGCTGTCTGTCTGTCTGTCTGTCTGTCTGTCTGTCTGTCTGTCTGTCTGTCTGTCTGTCTGTCTGTCTGTCTGTCTGTCTGTCTGTCTGTCTGCAACCCCCCACGCAGCGCGGCCACTGCACCCGGTCGTGTCTGTCTGTCCGCCCGCCCCTGCTGCGCCACCCTCGAGCGGAAAAACGCAATAATGTTGTAGGGGATGCATCCCGATGACCTTCCCCCTCCCCTCCCCGCTCCCCGCCACCGTCTTCAGCATCGATGACACCAATTGGAGGCCTCCGCGGACGAGGATGGGGGCGCCCCGCCCCGGTCCGCCCCGGTCGATCCAACAAAGTGGCAATCAACTCAACACGCTGACTTGGGGGAAAGTTAACGGAAATAAAATAAAACGGAATGAAATTGGGACATGTCGTAAATTACGCAAAAAAAACGAAAAGGAAATGAGACACTAAAGGACCGTGTTCGCAGATTATCATTCATAAAGGGCGAAGAATGCGTTTGCGGAACGACATCGTGACCAAGCACTTGGGGCAAGTCACGGCAAAAAAAAAAAAAACTTTTGAAAACGCACTGCCAGCAATTCGGCGGCGGGGAGTACACTCCGCCACAAAACTACACCGCGACAAAGCCACGCCCGGAACTCGAAAAGCGATTTAGTTTATAATAATGCGATCAGTGGCGTTGTGGGGGACACTGGGGGACACAGCCGACGTGCTTCAAACTTGTCGAGACGTCGAGACGGCGGGACGAACGCCGCCGCCGTTCGAGCTCTAAGGTTCGAGAGGGGCAGCACTCACCTTGCAGCTCGGCGGCGGGGAAGGCCCAGGCGCGGAGCCCCTTGTCCAGCAGGAAGAGCGGGGCGACGCGGGGCGGCAGGGCGGAGGGGGCGGCGGCGCGCGGCGTGGCGTTCAGGGCGGCGTCGGCGTGCGGCGACAGGGTGGACAGCTGCACGGCGTGCTGGTGCTGCTGGTGGAGGTCGCCGCCCATGAGTCGGTCGGGCCGCAGACCCCAGTCCGTCAGGTCGGGGCGCCACAGGGACTCTGCAAAAAGAGAAGCCGGAGGATGAGCCAACTGTTGCAAGCGGCGACTGCCATGGCGACGTCGCGGCTGGGTCGGGGCCGGTCGGACGGAGCGGCGCACAGCCATGAGGGGGCCAGAGAACCGGCGCAGGCAGCCCTAACCCGTTTTGAGCTCCAGAGTCGCTAAAGAGGACTCGAACCGAGCATTGCGACCCCACCCACGCTGCCTCTCAAAGGCGTCCTCCATCGGTGTGAGAGGGACCGACTCTCGCGGAATGAGTCTGCAGCAGGTGATCCGCCTCGCCGGCCTGCCTCCAAGTTGCCGCGTCGGTGAAGGGAAGGGCGCACCACGCCGATGAGGGTCCCGCACCGCCCTGCACCCCCCACCCCTCACCCCGCGCGGTCTATGGCGAATTCAAACTAACTTTTCGAAACGGGCGTGTTGCGGTTTGGGTCGGGGTGGCTCCTCCACGTAAAACGCTGGCCCAGGGCATCCCTCACAGGCCATTTTCCCATACCGGGCTGGTTCGCTCTGTCTCTCTCGCACTCACGGGGCGTTCCGGATGCAGCCGAGAGAGAGAGAGAGAGAGAGAGAGAGAGAGAGAGAGAGAGAGAGAGAGAGAGAGAGAGAGAGAGAGAGAGAGGGCGCACCAGTCCGGCAACACGTACGTCCCCGTATATATAATCAAGTGCACAAGTTAGCAACAACGGGCGAACGTGACTGGAAAGTCTTGGGGCGGCTCGGCCGCGGACCGATTCCGAGAGTCGTTTTCATCGCTCTGTCTCTCTTGCACTCACAGGGGCTTCCCGTGTCGGTGCGAGAGAGATAGAGCGAGACTCTCGCTCAGTCCCGGGCGCCTCCTCCAAGCAGTGGGCCGGTGTCTGGCTCCGTCTAGCTCCTCGGTGAAAGACCGGCCGCCCTCCGTCCCGACTCCGTCCCCACATCGAGTACCGGTCCGTGTCCCCTCGGAAGAGGAATGGGCCGCCCAAGAAAAACAACACCAAAAGGGAGCGGAACAACAACAAAAAAAGTCTCTTACAGTAAGGAAACTTCACCGTGTGTCCGCGTGCGCCGTCGTGCGTTTGGACGGCTGTCCACTCAAAAAAAGGGGGCAAGGAAACTTTTGTTCCTCAGACTATCAGACTGATCTTACTGTCCTTGCAAAAAAGAAAGTTTAAAAAAACCCGGTAGGGAAAAGCAACTGTTTCCACTTGCAGCTCCACACGGAGTTTCGAGGGGAAAATAGTTCACGTGAGAAGTACCAACTAATCCAGAGAAATTTCCAGTCTCACTGATGAAGTTTCGAATCGAATTCACACGAGAATGTACACCAGAAGACTCAACTCGATTTTCCCTTTTTACTACACGCTGGGTGGAGTGGGTGCGCCCATGCGTCCGTGATTGGATTGGATTCATTGGATTCAAGGTGAACAGCGCGGCTCCGCGAGTACACTCTCACACCCGGCCGTGTGTGTACACTGTACACCTGTTGCCAGCATGATCCGATTACCGAACGCCCGAACACGCAAGAACCCCTTCCCCACTGGAAGGGCCCAGGCCGTACGCCCAGCCAGTGCGCAGCACAGAGTTTTGGCCACCGGCACCGGCCTTCTGGCCCATGCACCGTGCGCCTGCAAGAGGGCAACGAGCGTTGCTCAAGCTGAAATGAGAAAACGATCCCCGCGCAGAAAGTGCCCGAACGCCGCTACTAGACGCGCTCTGACGACACGGCGCGCATCCCCAGTTTACTCACTCCCCTCAAATCTCCGGCAGCCTCGCCGCCGACGAGGACGCCGACGACGCCGACGTCGAAAATGACGTTGAATACAATGAAAAGCCGCGTGGATCTCATAAAGCGATTTGGGGGCCCGGCGGCTTGGTCTCGGTGCTCGGCGGCGTGGCGGGGGTGCGGCGGGGCGGGGTGGGGGTGCGGGATGGCGTGCGCGTCCATGCGGCGGCTAATTGAACAACTTTTGCGGGGGAATTCCGCCTGCCCCGGCCTGCCCTGGCCGCGACTTCCAAAATAAAGCCCTCGAGAGCATCACCTGGAAGCCCTTGGCCTCGCCGTCTGGCCCTGCCCTGCGCCCTGCGCTCCGCCCTACCGATACCTCCTCCCCTGCACTGTGGCCTCCCGCGCATATTAAAACTTGGCTAGACACAGCACTACCTGCTTTTCATCAGAAACTCCCTCCCCCTTTCTGCATTATCGCTCCAAGCTCCACGTGAATCAGGCAATAGCGGCCGGCAGACCCGTTGTCTCTCTCGCACTCGGCGGCGTCTCGCTGGGTGCGAGAGAGAGACGCTGTCCGGAGCCATCCTTACTGACTGGGCCCCGGAGGCCCTCTCACGCAGAAAGGGGTCTGATTCCGAACAGTGTAGTGCGGGCGACGGCACAGTGCAAGTGCGTGCGCGTCGTGCCAGGGGGGCGGGGCGGGGGGGGGGGCGGGGCGGGGCGGGGCGGCACCAGCAGCGCGTCGCGCCAGGGTGGGAGGAGAGGGCGGTTCGCGAGTTCAATATACATCTCTCGAGGCGCCAAATATCTCCGGCCGCTTTTAATTCCGGTCCGAGGTGCCTTCCAGTGTCACTCCAGCAGCCCCCCCCCCACCGACCTCTCCAGCACCGATTGATGAGAGGAGGGAGAGAGCCGCATGCGTGCCGCGCGTGTGGGAAAGAGAGAGAGAGCGAGAGGGCGGAGAGGCGCGCGATAACTGCAGACAGACGGACGCTGAGATAGCATCCATTCCATTTGATCGTTTCCGCCGTATTTGCGACTCGCGGTGGTTGCGGCGGAGGTGCTGGTGTTCCTGGAGGCCGTGGTGGTGGTGGTGGTGGTGGTGGTCGTGGAGGCCCAGGCGCTGCAGGCGGGGGCGGCGCGATTTGGCCCGCTGTTAACGAGGTGGCTTGCTGTGTTGCTCGCCCCGGGCCTCTCGGCCCGCCCCGGCCCGCCCTGGCCCGCCCTGGGCCCACCGCTGCGCGTCCCTTTGGCAGCGATATTCCAATCGGGAAACGATGGCCCACTCGGGGTTCTGATCAAAGCACCGCCCCCACCCCCCGGTCTTAATAGGGTCTGATTCCGACTGCCTGGCCAGGGCCAGGGGGCCAGCCCGGGCCAGCCCCTCCCTCGGCCCCGCACCGCTACATGCAGGCCGCCGCCTCGACTGGCCTCAAGCGTGCCATGGGCGTGCCATGGGCGTGCCATGGGCGTGCCATGGGCGTGCCATGGGCGTGCCATGGGCGTGCCCCGCCTATTCGAGGGGCAGCCAAACTATCCGGACCGACGTCACTCCACGCTGAATAAATCACTTGAGCTGCAATCACATCAGGTCCACCAGGTCGGCGACCTCTCCGCTGCTCCGCCAATCTATTTTGGCGGGAAGGCCGGGCCGGCCGACCCGTGAGCGGGGCGAGCGAGGCGAGCGAGGCGCGTGACTGGGAGGTCCAGCAGGGTCGCTGTCGCTTGGCTGTCGCTGTCGGGCTCGGTTAGGAACCAGGTCAGCTGGGCCTAAGGGGCTGGAACAGGTTGGGGGGGCCCCACCTCGGGCCCCATCCACCCTTGCGGCTCCACACTGCAAAATCCTGGTTCCTAGTTTTTCGCAGGTACCCCATAGTGAAGACATATGCCATTCCCAGGGCCGGGAAAACCAGGAACCATCGCCATTCGTGGTCGAAGCAAACACAACCCCACCCATTAAAAAATCTTGGAAAAAAAAAAATTGAATGCGACGACTCAGAGAGATGTAAGCGCTGAGAGGAAAATTTCAGAACCTTTGGCAAAACTGAAAAATAAAAAACGCCACGTGATTTTCCAGTGCGGGGCTCGCCCAGGCTGCCACTCTCTTCTCGGCCGCCAGCTCCAATTTTTCCTTCGGCAGAAGTGTGCGGCAATTGCATTATCTGCGGCGTCTTCCCGGTGTCACTGAAACCACCACCACCACCGCAGAACGCCCGCCCCGCCCCGCCCCGCCCGCCTCATCCAATCATCATGACTTAGTTACACGTTCGAGCGTGCGTGACTGCGTGTCACGCCGGCGAGCCCACACGTCCCGAACCCTGGAGCCTACACCCGCAGCGGGCCGCAGCAAGGGGACGAATCCGCGTTCCCAACAGTGCCAATAAAAAACGAAAACAACAACGAATGAAACATATGTGGTGCTCGGGCCCATCATCGGGCGCGCCATCTTGACTGGATCCAAGGTCACGGAAGGTCACGCAGCCGCAGCCAGCGGCCCCGACGGACTGGCGGGCAACGCGGGCAGCCAGCCAAATCCGATTCCCGCCAAAATGATTTCCTGCCACCGCCGCGCGCGTCGCGTATCGGCTCGGGCTTTGCAGAGTGCGGAGTCTGTGGACTTCCCCGCGACGACCGCGGGCGGGGCGGGGCGGGGCGGGGCGCGCCGCGGTGAGCACAGCTGGCCGGCCGGCATGCACACTGCCCGCCCCATTCCATCCCCCTCCTATCAGGGCAGTTGGTTCTGCTCCGCCTGCTTCGCATGGTTCGCATGCTTGGCCCCGCTCCTCCTCGCGCGCCGCGGTCTGCTGGGCGCTTTTAAAAAGAGGGCGTAAAAAAAACAAGTTTCAAGATAAAAAAAAAAGGAAAAAAAAGAAAGAGATTTTTACAAGGCGCCGACTGGCTGCGGTGCTATGCGCCCCAACGAAAATGCATCGTAAACTGATAACAGTTTTATCGAGTTTTGAACGGGCGGGGTGCGGGGCGGTGCGGGGTGGGGGAAATGAGGGGGAGGGGGATGTCGCGGTGCAGTGCGGAACGCGGTGGGTGGATGGCAGGTCTCTACCCTCATCAGAATACACTCAACTCGACTCTGCCCTGCCGCGCCGCCACGCCTCGTCCGGGGTTCGACTCCCCCTGCCTCCCTTTCTCTCGCCGTGAGGACATCTTCGGCAGGGAGGAGTCTTTATTCCTTATGCCTATGCATTACGGCTAATTGAATAAGGAGGGGAGGGGGAAGCACACCGAGTGAATTCGGTTATTTAGTTCACGGCGAGAGAAAGTCGCCGAGATGGCTTCGGGGGCGTTCCTCCGCGTGGCCTTGTCAACCAACGCAGCAAAAGAAAATGCCCTTTTCCATTTTTTTAACGCTGCAGTTTTTTTTTTTTGTAAAAATATTTTGAGACGACCAAACTGCTTTGTATTATACAGCAGGAGTTTGGCATTAATACCAGCTTGGAAGTTGGCTTGTGATCTTGCAGCTTCCCACAAGGTACCGACACTTACATACACAAACAAACATACACACATAACCCCTGTCGTCGTCATCTTTTCTCCCTTGGCTCTGTCCGTAAAGGGCCATCGTCGAAACGAGACAGCGGCAATCGCAGAAACACAATTAAGGCGAAGCACAAACGCGAACACTTCCCGTTTCTCTCGCGCGGAGCGCCCACCAGCCCAGCAGCAACAAAAATGATTGAATCCAAACTTTTGCATAGAAAAACAGCGCCTTTTCCCCCCCGCACTCCCCGCCGCGCTCCGCTCCACCAACAACGGCCGGCCGGTCCGAAATGAAGTCGTCCATTCAGTGCTCGTGCCTCTGCGGACTGACTCCGTTTCGGTCGCTCTGTCTCTCTCGCACTCACGGGGCGTCGCGTGTAGGTGCGAGGGAGACAGAGCGACCAAAACGACTGTCGGAATCGGTCTGCTGCGCGCGCCAACAAGAAGGCCGTAACCGCCGACCCTCGGCGCGAGGCCGAGAGGGTTTGCTCGGCCTGCTTGGCGTGCTCCGCCAATTAATCAAAGCAGCAGCGCGAACTACTCGTCAGTCGGAAAGAAATAAGGGCAGGCTCTCTCTCTCTCTCTCTCTCTCTCTCTCTCTCTCTCTCTTGCTTTTGTTCCCAGCTTTGCGCCCTCTTTATTTCCATTTATTGTTTCAAACTGTTTGGGAGCGCGCGATCCGCGGCGCGCCGAGGCCGGGCCGGGGCCGCTGGGGGCCGAGGCCAAAGAACACGGAACCTCTTCATCTTGCCGCGCCGCCAACGCCTCCCTCTCTTGGACTTGTGATTTCCGTTGTTGTTGATCTCCGCGGTGGTGGCGGCAAGGCGCGGCAAGGCGACGAGGACGGCGACGTGCCTCCCGGTGCCTCCAGGCAGTGTCGTCGGCCGTCTCTCTCTCTCTCTCTCTCTCTCTCTCTCTCTCTCTCTCTCTCTCTCTCTCTCTCTCTCTCTTGCAAACACTAGTTCCGTGCCGGGGGCAGCCAGTGGTTGACGTTCAGAAACCGCGAGTGACTTTTCAAGATGAGAAATAGACGTCCTCGAACAACGAGGCGTTTTTCTTTCTTTCGAACATTTTTGCCACCGTGTGGCGTTCGTGAGCCTCCTTCCAGCTGGCGGCGAGCCCCCCCTCTTCTCCCCCCTCCCCCCTCTCTCTCTGGCCGCTGCTGCCGGCTTCGGCCAACTTTCGAAACGCGCGCAATAAGGGAGACGGACACCTCTCAAAACTTAGCCTCAAACTTTGATTCGAGTTGCGTATATTTTTGTTGGCGCGCGCGACGTCGCGGCAGGACGGCGTGGAAAAGGGGAGGGGGGGTTGTCGCGCAAGCGGTGCTAATTAACGAGCCCTTGCCAAACGGAGTGGAAACGGTCGCCACCTTCCCCTAACCTGGGGAAGGCGTAGTCCGTACACTGAGAATGAAAGAGGCATGATCATGACTAAAATATTTGGTGAGGAATTTTTTACCGCCCAAATTTGGGAGAGGAAGGTTTCCTAGCCCGAATTCGGGTGAGGAAGGTTTCCTCAGCGAAATTGGGTCCATATAGGTACGTACACCCTTCCTCACCCAAGTAGACGATATAGTAAGCGCCAACTTTCAAGTTGACTCTTGAAGAGACACTTTGAAAGGGTAAAACATGAGTGCTCATTAGTTGGCAGAGTAGTGGAAGGCAAGGCGCAGGGGCGGTCCCTCGACGACGCCTAGAGAACTTTTTGGTTCATAAAATATAAAGATACGTTTTTTGTTGGGGTGGAGGTGGAGTTGATGGACTATAACTTTCGCTTTGCATTTAAGCAGGTGCCTGCGTCGATAAGGTGGGAATTTTCACACGGAACAGACAACAACAACAACATAACAACAACAAAACCATCAGCAGTTCGACAGACAGACAGACAGACAGACAGACAGACAGACCGGCGCGGAAGGGGCGCGTGCATGCGCGCGTGCTGGAATGGAAGCAAAAGTTTATAGGGTGGGTAATGATATATATTACCGACGCTGCCCGGGCCAGCCCCAGCCAGCCCCGCCGCGGGGCGAGGATGCATGCACACGAGTAAAGTGATTTACCTGGCCGAGGGGAAGGTGGGCGGGTGTGGGTCCCACACTGTGGGTGCACTCGCGGGGGCGCGTGGCGGGAAAGCAGACAACTTTGAATCTCTGAATTTGAATCATTATCTCCCCGCGTGATCTACGGCCCGCGCGCGCGCGAGTGTGTGTGTGTGTGTGTGTGTGTGTGTGTGTGTGTGTGTGTGTGTGTGTGTGTGTGTGTGTACAGCGAATTGCCGCCATTACCACGAAGCCCCTAGACGATCCATGATAATTATGATAACTAAGATGGAGGGCGTCTGGTCGGCCCATTCTGGTGGAAGCCGCCACCGCGAAGGTGAAGGGCATCGTCGTAGAGACATCCCAGAGTGGGCCCACTGTGCGTCGTATTGCGTCCATAAGTCCGGCCAGCAGACTTTGATTCCAAAAGTCGTTTTCGTCGCTCTGTCTCTCTCGCACCTATACAGGACGCCCTATGAGTGCGAGAGAGGCGCAGAGTGACGAAAGCGACTCTCGGAAATCAGACTGCCCGCGAGGACTGCCCCGTTTTCCATTTCTGGAGCCCACGTCCCTAAATCCTAAACCGCTCTATTTCCGATGACAAGCGGCCGGGCTGACCGGCCGGGCTGACCGGAGTGGAGGGGTAGGGGGCTGGTTCCCGCAGTGTAAGCAGGCTATCCCCGCGGCCCCCCGCTGCAGGCTGCCACCGAACGGCGCAGTCTCTCTCTCTCTCGCACCCCTGCAGGCCGCCCCACGAGTGCGAGAGAGACAGAGCGAGGTGCGGACTCGACCCTCGCCCGGCCGCGTGATCCCCAATAAGGGCCTCGTGGTCCTCCAGTGTGGGGCACTCGGTGCGGCACCGCGGCCAGGCAGTGGATGACCGCCAGGACCGCCACAGCCGCCCCATTCCGGGAGTCGTTTTCGTCGCTCTCTGTCTCTCACCCATATGGGGCTCCGCATGCGTGCGAGGGAGACAGAGCGGCGGAAAGCGACTCTCGGAGTCAGGCTGCAGGCTGCTGATCCTGTGTGCCGAGCCGGCGGCCGAGCCGGGGTGCTTTGGCCGCGTGGCTGGCTGGGCTTTGAAAGGCAGACAACGGCGGTGCATGCGGTGCGGTACCAATCTGGCACACTGCACACACGTCGCAGCGGGCGGAGCAAGCGGGGCGGCCTCTCGCTCTGTCTCTCTCGCACACCTATGGAGAGCCCCATGAGTGCGACAGAGCCAGCGCGACGACAGTGCATCGGCTGCCGAGCAGTGACCTGGACGTGAAGGTGGACGGGACGACGGCGCGGCCATAGTCCCCCGACTGTTTTGCAGTCGGAGTCCTTGCTGTTATGGCTGCCACTTGGGGGTACCCTGGCGGCACAGTCTCGAAAGACAGCCACGGCCACCGCAGTGTACAATGAGAGGCCAGGCCAGTGTCTCTGCGCCTACCACCTTTGTTCCCGAAGCGCGGCGCGGACGGGGAAAATGGTTTGGATCAGAGACAAAAGCAGGCCAAGAGCACACAGCGCAGAGTGAGACAGCAAAGGCTGATTCCGAGAGCCGTTCTCGTCGCTCTGCCTCTCTCCCACCCACGGGGCGTCCCGTACAGGTGCGAGAGAGACAGGGCGACGAAAACGACTGTCAGAATCAGCGAGGCAGGGCGAGCGGCAAAGGTGCAATTTGAGGCAGCGGGCGGCAGCCAGCCATCCCGCGGCACGGTGCCGTGTTTGAAGGACGCGCGCAAAACAAAGGGGAGGCACACTGCGAATAGCGCATTGCAGGCCTCCTTGCAGGTGGGGCAAGCCACGCCACGCCACGAGCACGGCCTTGGCGGCCTGGAGCACTCAGCGGCACTGCGGAGGGGAACACAGGACACCGCACGCGCATTACCCACAACGTGACGCACACACACACACAAACACGCACGCACAGACTCCCGAGGGTTGTGCCTCTTACCCCCATTCTTTGCCCCACGGCCCTGCTTTAGCGCGTCGCTAGCTGCCCTGGGGGTGCAGTAGTAAGTTGCCCCCTCGGGGGCCAAGTAGAGGGCGGAGAGGCCCCCCCTTCCCCTCCACGGCGGCGAGCGCCCGGCAGGTAGGCAACCGAGGCAGCCCTGCGCACCGCTGCCGCCAGTTTGCCTACCCGCACGGCGCTATCCCCCGCCTGCATTCCGAGAGTCGCTTTCGTCGCTCTGTCTCTCTCGCGCCCCAACGGGCCGCGCCATGAGTGCGCGAGAGACAGAGCGACGGATTCAGTCAGCTGTTCCGCTGCCGGCTAGGCCCCTCCCTTCTTCGAGGACGTGCATTTTTTTCCCGTCCCCGTTCCTATTCCGCAGTCCAGATGCCGCCGACCTGCCTGCCGCCAGGTGCGGCCGGTGCCAAGTTCGCAGCCCCCGCACCCCGCACCCCGCCCCGCCCCGCCCCGCCCCGCCCCGCCACGCCTGCAACGCCCCGCGTCAGCGCCTGATTCAGGGGATTCCAAAACGGCCTCCCTCCGCGGGGCTCGGCGGGGCTCGGCGGGGCCGCCCCTGGGGACGCATAACACGCGGACGGCGAGGCGGAGAGCGGAGGGGGCGCACACTACGAGTTAGTAAGAGCCGGGGACAGTAAAGCAGCCGAACGGACGGGCGGACAGGCGGGCGGACAGGCTGGTCTGGGAGACGCGTCGCGTCGAAGCCAGCGCCCTCTGCGTGGCTGCGTGGCCGTGCGCGGAACCAGCGACGACCGCCACCTGCGCCGCGACGCCAAAGCCGTCTCTCTCACAATGATGAGGCGTCCTGTAGGGGTGCGAGAGAGACAGAACGACAAACGACCTACAGTGGACCAGAAGACCGGTGGAGGCGGCCAAAACTCTAGACGCGTTTTGAGCTCCAGAGTCGCTAAACAGGACTCGAACCGAACGTGTGACCCCACCATTGGACTGCTCTCCGAACGAGGAATCCATTGGTGGGGTCACACGTTCGGTTCGAGTCCCGTTCAGCGACTCTGGAGCTCAAAGCGCGTCTAGAGTTTTGGCCGCCTCCACCGGTCTTCTGGCCCACTGAGCGGCCCTTCGGAATGAAGGGGCAGGTGTCCGGGAGGAGATCGACGGTGCCAGGACGACGGGCCGGACAGGCCGCCAACGGGGACGCTGCAGCCCGTCTGCCGCCCGTTTGATCCCACAGCCCCTCGAGGACTCCGCCAGGGCTCCGCCAGGACTCGCCGACGGCACGGCGTGCACGGCTCGGGACGCCCCCCTCGCCGTCGCCTCGCTTTGACGGGTCAGCCACCTCCACGCACAATGTCCCCAGAAGGGGCCACTCCGGGCATCAGGTATCACGCAGGCGCCGTCAGGGCCCCGCAGTGCCCCGGAACTCCCAAACGGCGACGCGACGCCGACCGTGACCGTGGCTGTGTCCGGGACGCCCGGACCCCAACGCGCCTGAGGAAGATCCACCGCATCGCTTGCGACGTTACGGAGCCTGACGAGGCTCTGCCACACCATTCGGTGCATCCACTGGGAGGGCGGGCGGCCAGGCGGCCAGGCAGGCACCTTGGCAACGTGCAATGGGGCTTAAGGCGGGCAAAGGCATCAGGTGGAGGTCCAAATGGCCCAGACATTGAATCCAACCGCCCCCACCCCCGGACCCGCACCCCGAGGCACGGCACTGTAACTCCTTGTTTTGCGGATCGGCCCTTGCTCACGCACCCCTGCCGCCCCAATGGAGCATGGTGCGGAAGGGGTGGGGGTGCCGCGCGCCGCTGGACGCAAAGCATGTTGTGATGATGAAACATCGCGACACGCACTCAACTCCTCCGTCTGCTACGCGCTGCTACGCTCGCCCACGCCCCCGCTCCCCGCCCTTCACACGCGGTGCTCTCGTCTCACTTTCCCTCCCCCCTCTCTCTCCTTCTCTCTCATTTCCCTTCCCACTTAAATAATGTACACTCCGGGTGTAAATCTCCAGTGCCCTTCGCTTTATCACATTAATAGCCCCGCCCGCCCGCCCGCCTGACCACAAGGGCAGTTGTTTTTCTGCCTCTTGCTTGTTGTTGTTGTTTGTCTTTCTTTTATATTAACTCGTTGTTCGCGGTCTAGTTCTCCTCCGCAATTTCGCACTTGCCCCACCCGGTGAAGAATCGCGCAGGCTTGTGAGGAAAAAACAAAAACATGAAAACAAATAAAAGTAAAGAGAAACGCACAGAAATGGAGACAGCAACAAGAGGAGAGGGCGGTGCACCTGGGCGAAACGCGACGCCCGTTCGGAACTAATTAGACAGGCGGGCAGGGCTAATAAGGTCCCTTGTGTTGAAAAGCGGGGAAGGGAGCATCGCAACAACACGGCCACCTCAGACCGCAACTCTGAGGAAGGATATTTTTCCGCACGAAATTGCGTTATC